TTGTTATAGAGGTTTGCTCCTTCACACCTTGGAGAGAAGGGAAAGGGGAGCAGGAGGCAACCAGGGATGAGAGATGTAGGTGTTGGAAAACAAGAGGTTGGACATCAGAGCCACATGGGTCGTCCTCAGACCTCAGTCTCTCTTGGTGCAAGTCCTCCACCTTCCCAGCTCTTGCCTGGGAGGAGTGTGCTGCCAGTGGGACCAGTCAGGAGTTTTTGCTGGACTGTACCTTGTCTGGACCCTCACTTCCCCTTCCTCCTGCTCCCAGTCAAGTGGGTGTTGGGGAACCCTTGTAGCTACTCTCCTTGTAGCGCTCCCCTGGTCCCAGCCGTGCCTGTGGTGACTGACCCAGGTGTGTGTGTGAACATGGCTTTGTCTTCAGAGAGCAGAGCCCACAAGGAGGGCACAGAGCAGTGAGACAAGCCTGGCCAGCACGGCAGGGCAGGATGTCCTGCTCACCAGGGCTGGGCTCTGCTTTTGGCACGTCCTGCTCTGCCCACAGCACTGTTGTTGCAGAAGGTGGTGCAAGGGGCCGAAATGGTGGGCAATGATCCCACGCTTGCTTGGCTGCTGGTGCCAGGCACCTTCTGGGTGGAAGGAGGACACGTTCCTCAAGCCTTGGCCTGCATTTTCTGTGGTTCAAAGGCATCCTCTGTTTTAGCCAGTTCACCTGGCTGATTCACTCAGTAGTTTTACTCCTGTCTCCCTTGTCTTTGCCTGGACCCACCGTGGACTCTTGACGGCAACGGGAGAAACCTGGCCAGTATTCAAGCGGTTTCTGCAACTTCTGCCCATCGTTGGATGAGTTGCTCACACCATTCGCTCTCTGGTCCCCTCAGACTGGCAGCAGGGTGGCTGCTCAGTGGGAGACCCAACCTGCACCTCCCTCCAGCCCCTCCCTGCCTGTGGCTCGGCCTGGCCCAGCCCTGGGATGGAGCAGGAGCGTGGTGCTCATTTTTTTTTTGCTGCTAGGTCTCTGCTCTGCTCCCCATCCTGGGGCCGCGACTTGCAACCCCATTGCAGACCAGTTGCACCTTAAGCCCTTTCGGGCTTGGATCAGAAATGGGGCAATGTCAGAATTCAGCCAGGAGACGGGATGCAGCAGAGGACCCCCCCAGCTGCCTCCAGATGTCTGTTCCCTGCCTCAAAACCATCAATAATCTCCTTCCCCCACCTCATAGTGCTGCCCATCTCCTCCTCTCCCTGTTCCTCTGTGGTTCACCCCATCGCTCACTGAACAAACATCAAGACCACCTTTGGTCTGCGCCTTCAAGACCTCCTGGTGAGTTTCCCCCGCCTTTCCTTAGGGGGAAGTTCCCAGAAACAAGGCCCAAAACACATGTCACACTTGGGGGCACCTCCTGCTCTCAAAAGGGCGGTCTCTGGGTGGGATGAGACAAGCTAGCACCAAAAGAGGTGGGAACAGGCTTGGTTTGGCAGTCTGAACTGGTGCCAAGAGGCAGCCTGGTGTAAATACTGAACATGACTATTCATTGTGTCCTTACAGCTCTAGAGCTCCATTTGTAAAGCAGCAGAGAAATGCAAACTTGTGTCAATTGATGTAATTTATATTGTCTCTTTAATATATAGAGCCCTGGCATTGATCTTGTGTGACTGTACAGATGAAAAGATGTAATTGGTTTTTAAATGTTTAAGGAAAGAAAAGAAACAAAAAGATGTGTTTACTACTTTGCTCCTTGCTTTGTTTGCTGATGCCCCAGATACTCTGTTTAGGGAGATTTTGAAATAAGGATATCACAGTTTGGAGGTGCTGAGGGGAGCAGCCACTGGACCATGGCACCAGACAGTTTCATTTCCCAATGCACTAATGCTCAGCCAGGCTAATGGGGGTTTTCTGTTTCCTTTGTTCTAGGGAAAACAAATTCTTATCTTCCCTAGAAGTTCAAAATACACCTTGTAAAAGCCAAATTCTGTCTTTGGGCAAAAAGGTTTACCCCACAGCTAAATGCAGCTGTGTGGTGCCTCCCTCTGAGCACACAGTGCTGCTTGAAAGCTGTCTGAGCTAGCCCAGCCACAGAGTGCCAACAGGTCAATAATTCCCTTAAGACCTCCCCTTCCTATAAACAATCACCCCACGGCACAACACGCTGTGGTTTTGGGACAGTTTCCATCCAAGGAAAGTCTGGTTATGGCGTGGCTCATTCCCTCTGTCCAGGGCACTCCAGTGGTGGCCGATGGTGTGAGGTGGTTGGGGTATCCCTATTTTAGAAGCAAACAGTGAAGCACTTTATTTTGATTGTGTTTGACCCAGTTCTGGTTAAAGGTGAAGTGTGGCCAAGAAGGACCCGATACTTGGAAACAAAACAAAAGAAACATAGGCAAAGGGGGGGCATTCTGAAAGGGCCCCCCCATCTCCTCCCTGCGCTGAGACCCACGGGAGTGTCACCGCCTGTAAATACTGTAAATTATTTATTGAGAGAAACACAAGTAAAGTTTGGTTTTTTTGACAATAAATGAGTGGGTCTCGGTTTGTTCCCTGTGTGTTGCCTGGTGCTGTTCCCCACTCAGGATTCAAGTTGCCCCATTTCTGTACTCACTCCAAAGCAGCTTTCTTCCACCTGAAGGACCCTCTGAGAACTCATTTCTGTCCTGAATTCTCCTGAGAATTCCACCCTGGAGTTCGATTTATCTACAGCCAAGTGAGAAAATTAAAGGGGGATGGGGGGGAAAATACAGATAATAAACCATTAGAGCCTTGCCTCGCTGGGAAAGGAGATGTGCAGCAGTGGAGCCCAAGTGGGAGCCACCACCCTTCCCCTGCTCACCCCAACAGATGGGGGTGTACATCCCGGTAATGGTAATTCCTCCTTTCCAAGACCTCCCTTTTGTTGGGCAGCTCTCCTGTCCCAGCTGGGTTTGCTGCTGCCCTCTAATGAGGAAAAACAAAGTTGCATTTTTTTTTTCCTGTCAATTTTTCCGTTTTTGAAATCTGAAGGGACTCATTGTCACAGCAGCTGGGGTCAGGGAGGGGCTGAGGGCAGGTGGGACACCCACACCAACTCAAAACACACATTATTGGGGTGAATCCATGCAGTGATGCCCAGCAGCAGAGATGTGATTGACATCTGGTCTTCCCCTCCTTCGAAGCCCAGAGAACAGGCAGTGTTTGGGAAGAGCCAAATCCACTCCCTTTGCCACTCCTTGCACCAGAGCTCAGGTTTAACCATATCATATGGCTAAACCTGAAATGGCTAAACCTGAAAAATCATCTACAAAGTGCCCAGAGTGCAGGGGACAGGGGGGTCTCCCTCCCTGACTGTTCTGCCAGGAGGCCACCAATGGTCCCCTGCTGTCCAGCCTGGGACAGTGAGCAGGCAGCACTGCATGTTCCAGTGGGACAAAGTGCTCATGTGAGGAAATGAAGGGAATGGTGACCCCCCCAGGCACAAGGATGCCCTGTCCCCATTAACCACACAAGGCAGCAAAGCATCCCCAGGAGGTACGTGGGGGAGGCACAGGCTGTGCAGGGACAGAAGTAGCAGTGGTGGCCCTGTGGCACCTGGGAGAGGTTCAAATTGCTCTCCAGACCGTGTTCAGGGCTGGTGAGGGGTCCTGGGGGATCCAGGGTCCCATCCCATCACTCTGTGATGGGCAGCAGCTCAAGTGCCACCACCTGGGGCCTGGGATGGATTTCCAGCCTCACTTTGGCTGTGCCTGCCCATCTCCTGGCCTTTTGGCCACTGTCCTGGGCTCTGAGCTTCACATCTGAGTGCTCAGGGTGAGGCAGGACTGGCTGTCCAGGAGCAGCCACAACTGTGGAACGTTGTTCATCAAAAACCGGCTTTTTGCTGGGAACCAGCTGCCCTCTAGAGGGTCTGCCCCACTGTGGAGCACAGCCCTGTCCCCTCACTGGGGTGGGAGCAAGGCAGGGCTGGGGGTCCTGCTCCCTGTGCCAGCACATGGCTTTGCATGTGTGATACCTTCCTGTGGGACTGAGCACACCTGCCTGGCCACGCACAGGTGGGAAGGGGTCATTTCCTCATCACTTTTGAGAAGGCCTTAGGATTGATGTGTTCTCAGTGTGGTGCTGTGGACATGGGTGGGCAGGGAGATGCCAGGCTGAGCTGTGCTGGGGAGACACCTGGCATCAGGGTGCCTACATCCTTACCTGCCTGCTTAAATTAAAAAAAAAATAAATTAAAAAATCACTGGCCTCAGGTAGATTCACCCAGGCACGTAACATCCAGCCCAGGTCCCTGCAGCCCCTGGGCCTCCCTGCAGCTGAGCCCCTCTCCCTGCTGAGCCCCATGGCTAACAGCCAGTCACTCTTTCCATTAGGAAATCCATTTTTCAGGAGCATATAACTCAGCTGTGAAATTTCACTCTTGGCTGAAACTTGGCTCAGCAGCAGAGAGACTGGGAAGGGCTGGACCCAGTGGCTACAGGTGTGAAAAGTGCTTTTTACAATGAGCTTTTATAACTTGGGAGAAATGGCTCCAGTCCCTGCTCCGTGTCTTGCCGTGTGGGCCTCAGTGTGAGCAGTGGAGGGTAAAGACCAAAGCAGCCACTGGATGCCAACACATCCCACCTGGGGAGAGGCACATCCTGCCCAGGAGGGGCTGGGGACAGAGGAGAACTCACCCATGCAGCAGGAGCAACACTTCTCCTAGAGAAAGGATGATTCTCCCCCAGAAAAGGTAAAAAAGTAATTTACACATCCTCAGAGATCCATAAAACATGGAGGTGGGATAAACACATAATCATCAGTATCATCCCAGTGAAATAATCCTGGTGGATCTGGGTTAGAGAATGTACAGCTCCTTCCGATCAGGTGGAAATTCCCATCTGGAGAGGCTTCCAAGTCTCTATCACCACAGACTGTGAAACTGTAAAAACAGCCAAGCAGAACATGCTTATTCCTGCACAGTGAAAATATCCATGGTGGCTTGCCTGTGGCTGGCAGGAAAGGGCCCTGTCACCCCAAACCAGCCCCCAGACCTGCCACAGGACCCCACAGAGACACCACACTGGGGCCCTTCTGAAAATCTCAGTAACACTTTTTAATATACAAGAATCAAAAGTACAGCAGTTTTACAATGTAGGAAAATTTCATACATACTATATAAACAACATATTTACATCAGAAATCACTAGGACAGTGGCATTTCTTTCACAAATATAAATTAATATTAATTACTGTTTTTAGTCAACAGGTTTAAAAGTCCGTATTTTTACAGTAAGAGTCCTTCTCTCCCCAGAGGGGAGGCAGAGGTGGGGAGGAAACGGGTGAAAGCAGAATAATATTTTTGTGAGGATCACAAACCGTTCACTCAAGCACTTCAGCACTTGGTTCCGTGTCCATTTTGGTTGGGACCACGTCGCCTGTCCCCACAGCAGGTTTTGGTCTGCAGGATTTCCACCGTGTGAACTCATAACTACACCATTTCCAAAGAGGTCAAACCGACCTCTTTGAAAGCTGAAAAACTACTTCTTTTGTTTTTTAATTGAACCCCAGCAAGTTACTGCTTTTTTCCTGCAAAGAGGCTGGAGGGAATCTCGCAGCTGGTTCGCAAGGAAGAGCTGCACCAGCTGCTGACACAAACACCACAGGGAAGTTTATGGCTGTGGATGTGCCCCCTCCGATCCCACTCAGTCCCCATGATTGTGTTTGGTTATGGTCCCTATGCTGAGGGGACATAAAATGCATAAGTGTGTGTGTGCTCAGGGAAGACTTTCTCCCAAATCTCCTTCTCCAGCTTCACTAAAGCCAAACGCAGCAAAGACTCACCCACCATGAGTGGACATGACGTGACACCAACATCAGGCTAAAGTGACAGTGGGGACAGATCTCCAGTGGATATGGGTAAAGCTTTTGCTGTTGTACAAGAAGGAAACCCCAACCAACCTCGTGCCTGGAACCTGGGATAAGCAGAAACCCCCACATCTCAACACAGAAAATGCCTCTTGCTGGGATCCAAAGTTTTCCTGCACCAACCTAGCACTGGTTGGCCAGTATTGCCTTTGCTACATGAGTATGGCACGAGCTTCCCACCGTGACAGCACCGCGCTGTGACAAAAACAGCAATTCACTTTGCCCCTCCAAGCTTGCTTCCATTTTCACATTAAAAGCTAATACCTCTGAAAAGAAAGGACTTCTTTGTTGAATACCACAGCCTGCAATCACAGCTTAGTGGGAAACATGCTCTCTCCACACCTTCCAGCCCACCACAGAAGGGGACTGTGGAAGACTTGCCTTCACCTCACCCTGCACAGGTAAACACAAGTGTAACACTTTATCAGGGCAGCAAGTGCCCCTAAGGAAGGAAAACTGCCCTGAATTTGGTGGAAATCTTGCAACATAAAAATGAAAGGGGAACAAAACACTTCCCGTGTGTCCCCCTTAGAGCAGCGGGATCGGGAGGAGCGATGGCAGCAGATTTCCAGGGATATACTGCATGGAGAATTATTAGTGTCGGTTTGCATGGGCCCTCCCAGGCACTGGCTGGAGTCAGGAAGCCAGCCCTGAACACCCATCTGCCCTCAGTCTTTTGGGGAAGGGACATCACAGCTTATTAGGGTCAAATACTGGCATCTTAATGGAGGCTCAGCTTCTGTGCCCCACCAAAGAGGAGTCTGGAACTGCCTGGTCTTTCCTCCTGAGCTCAGGGCAGTGATGCAGCCCCAGACACCACGCTGGGGGCAGCCTGGCTTTTGGGAGAGCTTTGTGGTCTCCAGGGAACTCCAGCCTGAAAAATAATCACCCAAGGTGCTTCTGGCCAGCAGTATGTGCACAACCAACCCCTCTCACCACACCAGTGTCCAGGCCAGATGCTGGTTAGCATCAAATGCTGTGGTTTGAATACCTTCAGTGTTTGCCCTGAAGTCCACTGAGCTGGGCTGCACATTCCTCTTTCCCCTCTGCCATGCTGGGCTCTAAGACATTTGCTCCAAGGATCTTTACGGATCAGTCCTGAATTCCTCATTCTCTCCCTGCTCACTGAGGTGCTAAGTCCTCAGGTTCAATTCCAATTTAGACAAATAAAAGGTCTGTAAGTGCAGATACTTTTAGCAATTCAGAGTCACTGCTGACTGCTGGAAAAGTGGCAGGAAGCTGACCATTCCCTGAACTGTGATCACTCCACTGGATTCCTATTTCACTTTGTTCTACCATCCATTATCCTTCAGTTACAGTAAAGGTTTGTGATCACTGCTTTGTGAAGCACAGAGAGAAATGATTTGCCTAAAGACCAGAGACTCTAGTGGCAGGAAGATTAGAAGTTCCAGGATCCTCAGAGCCATCTTTTGATCTTGCACCTCCCAGCCACCATCTGTTAGTTCCTGGACCACCCAAGCTGCCCATGCCAGAAGAGAAGAGTTTTGTTATGAATTCCTGAGCCCTGTCTACTGGGAAATACTGTTCTCACCCCAATTTCTTTCCTGCTGGTTAGAAGTGAACTAAGCCTTTGCTAAGGAAGTTGGCATTTTTTTCTCATATCCCAGCTCCCGCTTACCCCCACAAGATTTGCTAGTTCCAGACCTGGAGATGGGAGGAAGATCTCCCCACCTCTTCTGTTGCAGGGGACACAACAGCAATCAAAGCAGAGCCAGTTTCTTGAAATGGATAAAGACATGGAAATGATAACATGGCCTGGAAAGTGATGGATTGGCACCAGCATGGCTCCAGCTCCTTTGGAGTCATTCTTCAGGGACATCAAGTCCCTCTTTCAACCAAGTTTGGCTGCTGAGGGACTTTCCTGTCCCTCCTTGAGTATATCCTCCCATTGCCCCATGCTGGTGACACACAAATCCCAGCCCAACCAGTTCATCCCCAACCCCAAAGCAGCATCTGTCACGTAACATCAAGTCAGAACAGGCACACAGCCTTCTGCAGCATCAATCTGCCTTCTCCTTCTGAGGAAACACTGGCTGGGGAAAATTCCCTTGGGTCCATTGGACTGAGGAAAACAAAAACAAAACAAAGAATGAGGCAGCAAGGCTGGTTCCATGACAGAACAGTTCAATGGTAAAAAAACGGGAAAGGAAATGGGAATCTAAACCAGAATCAAGAATTAGGGAAAATCTTCCTCCACCCACTCCCCGAAAATCCTCCTTGACCCAGCCAGATGATAGCAGCATGTTCAGAATTTCTCATTGCTGGCCTGGAGAAAGCAGCCACCGTCGCTTCAATCCCGGTATATCAGACGTGCGCTTCCCCCTCTCAGTCACTTTACGCTTTCCGAATGTTCCAGTTATAATCTGGATTGTTTTTCTGTTCCAATGACCTATCCAGAGGTGACCTGTGATCGAGAGGTGACTTGGAATCGTGGGGGGACTTCTGAGAGGGGGGCGAGCGAGGGTCCGACACTGCAGGGTGAGATGGAGGGAGGGGCTGTTTGTAGTCCCCCAGTTTGTCTGTGTGGAAGGACCGGTAGTGGTCGGAAGGTCCCTGGCCATGGTACCCCATGGGCGGCCTGTGGTCAGACATCCGCCGGAAATCCTGCTGGTGGTAGTTCTGAGGCCTGAAGTCGTCGGACCGCCGCCGTTTGGAATCGTGGTGGTGCCTGTGGAGAGAAAGAGGGATGGAGATCAGCTCCCCAAGCCCGGCCTCCTCTGTGGTCTCGGTCGCTGTTGTACTGCTCGTAGGGCCTCTTGCGGGAGAGGTTGTTTGGTCTGTAGTTCCCGGAGCTCCGGTGGGGATCCCCCCGCGACCGCCGGTCCCCGTAGTGGTGGTCCTTGTACCAGTGCTGCTCGTACTGGTGGTGCCGCTCCCCGCCCCACATCTGGTTGCTGTTGCCGCCGTAGTTGAACTTTCGATCCCTCTGCCAGTCTCCTCGGTCTGCCAAGAGCGAAGAGCACCTCTGAGTCTCTTCCATGCTTTGGTTTAAGCCCATTTACTTCCCTAAATTCTCCAAGAAATAATAGCTATTGACGCCCCTTTAACTTTCTCCTACCTGAACTATGTGGGCCCAATTTTATTCTTTGAATTTCTTTATCACTATTTCTTTATCATCCTCTCAAATCTTATTCTGTCCCATTCTTACATTCCTTTCCTCACTACGTCACCATGTTTTCTAGCCCAGCAGTAAGTACAGTGGTAGTGTATGTTCTATATCATCACCTTTAAACCTGACCAGTCACAAACCCCTGAAGGATTTGTGGCCAGGAGCATTAGGCCAGAAGAGAAGGTTTCTCCTGGTCTGGCAGCGCTCACCTGTGTTGCTGAAATGTCTCTTGTTTGGATGGCCGTAGTTGTCCCGTGGGTGCCCGTGCATCTGCTGCTGGGTGTGGGAAGGGGGCATGTGGATCTTCTGGGAATGAGGATTGTGAGGCACGTGAGACTGGGACATCACGGAATCGCGGCTGGAGCCTGAAGGCTCTGGGCGGAACGGCTTCTTCATGCTGGACATGTCCTCCTTCTTCTTCTGCTCCTGCAAGGTGGAACAGAGGGAAACAGCTCAGCTGCTCTCCCACCACAAGATCAGGACTGTGAGCCTTGTCTGCCAGGCTCTGGATTTCCCTGCCTCTTTGAGGACTTGGTGAGCCAATTCTGTGCTCAAGAACGGCACAAACGCGATGGAGGACACCACGAGAATTTGGCCACTCTGCTCCTGTACCTGATCTCTACAGGGCAGCATGCCCAGGCTTCTCAGTCCACAAGGCAAATGAACATCACATGTCACACCAAACAATGCTTTTGCTTGGTCAGAACAGCCAGGACAAAGTGACCAGAAATGCCAAATCAAAAAGAAAGGCAAATGCAATCAGACTATTTAGATGTTGAGAAAATCACACACTGCCAACAACAACAAAGAACACCCACGGTGAGAGGCAGAAAGAATTGGCACTTCAGTGCAGTAACTTTTGAGGACAGAAATCAAAGGGAAAGCACTTCAGTTCTCACCTCCTCTTCCTGTGATCTTTTCTTATGAGCCATCTTGTAGAGTTTGTGTAGTTTTCTGGCATCAAATTCTGTGAATTTTGACACAAATATCCATAGGTTCCTAGAAGGATATGAACATTTTCTGTTAAGTGCTACAGCAGCAGTTTAACTGCCAGTGGTTTCCAAACCAACATCAAATTCATTCTACCCTCTCTGGAAAACAGTCTCAGCTCAGGACAGGATGATCAGGAGGGCTGGAACCATGTTCTTCAAAGTAAAATAGGTTTGCAGTGGTTTAGGTGATTTAGCTTTGAAAGCAATTTTAATGAAACCAGGACAGTTGAAAACAAAACAGTTGCCTGGGACTGGTCATGGGAGACCATCCCTGGAAGTGTTCAAGGTTCAGGCTGAATGAAGCTCTGACCAACCTGGTCTAGTGAACTGTGTCCCTGCCCATGGCAGGGGGTTGGAACTGGGTGATTTTTAAGGTCCCTCCCAACCCAAACCATTCCATGATTCTGTGATTCTGTAGTGGACCAGAAAACACAAGATTTCATGGGTTAAGAGGGAAATGGCACATTCATCCACAAAAAAACCAGCAGCCTCTGATTACCATTTCAAAATATCCTAGACCAGCTAAGGAAAACAAAATGATCCCTCACCTTCTCCATAGCTTGATGTGATCCTGGTCAGTGTAGGCTTTAAGGCACTCAGAGATGCGATCACCAATTTTTAGGAGGCAGTTGCGCGTGTGTTCCAGCTGTTCTTGAACTGTCAGTCCCTTATCAGGCTTATCAAGCTGCTTCAGTGCTTTTTTGACTGGTCTCATTCTTTCCTTGCACTTGAAAGAGCAATAGAGAGGAGAAAGTGATTAATTTGGCACAGGGCTCTACACCATTGCCCTGTTAATCGAAAAGAAGCTCCTTTAGCTTTACCTGGCCATTAGGCAAGGAGAAATCAGCAATAAAATAGCAAGTTGCTAGACAAGCTGCAGACAATAATCAGTAAAAGACAATAAGTCTCCCCACCTCCACTGCCCCTGCCTTTTAGGGGGCAATAATTTGCTTTGGAAGCAGTAGCCACACATGGTCTGCCCCTGCACGGATCCCGTGGTGGGCAGGGGAGGGTACCCAAGCCTCCACACACTGAACCAGCCACCCCACTGAAAGACTGCTCAACTCAACCCTGTCCAATCCCACCTTTGGCCACTTTAATGCTTGCTTTTACCAAAACTGGCAGACATGAGATGAAAGCACTGTGTTTTTCGGCCCAGGCACATCAACACTGTGCACAGATAGGAAATCAGACAGGTTTTTTGACTGCCTGCCTGGATCTTTTGTGCATCACAGAAGGAAAGTTAAAGAAAAAGACAAAAAAACCCCACAGGACCTGCAGCAAATACAGAAATTTGAGAGAACTGCTTCTAAGAATTTCAGCCAAGGAGAATCTGCCATGACAATTACTAAAAGGCAATTTTTACAACAAGCCTTGTGGGCATGTTTGCTGTGAGAACACTTACACAGCTCTGCACCTCCTGCAAGGTCACCCTCAAAATTCTCCTTGCATTTCCTTGTCTGAAAGAGCTTCTGTGGCTCCTTGGCTTCTACAGGAGAGGGAATGTAAGGCTGCAGGGTCTTCTATAACCCAGGGCTGCCAGCAGTGGGAAGTCACCAGCTGAAGCAGTGTCCATGTGCATGCTCTGCTGACAGGCTACCAGCTGGCAGCTCTGGTGGGCAGCTCTTGTCCAGGGCTGTCCTGCCCCGCTCTCAGATCAGCCAGAAGAAACCCTTGTGAGGCACTAGGAGGGGGGTCACACCCCAACACCTAAAACACGTCCTTGGATGACATCTGAGCAAACCTTGGCTGCCTCGCTGGGCTCTCAGCACTGCCCTCCCATTTCCCAAGGAAAATACTCACTATGCTGAATGTTTCTTGGTCCAGATCATCATCCTCATCTTCTCCAATGGGGATTGGCTCGCTCCCTGCAGTGATGTGGACGGGGCCTTGCGATCTCTTCCCTTTACTTCCAGATTTGGCCTCGCCACCTTTAGGCTTTACAAGGACAAATTACAAACGTCACGAGATGAGCCAGAATGGAGGATCCCAAGTGACCCAACTAACAACCTCCACACTATTGTTACTGGCAGTTGCTAAACCTGGGCACAGTTCCTACAGCCTTCCTCCCAAAATCTCCAAGTGTTGAGCTGCAATGGCTCTGTTTAGCTTTACGTCATCCCTGAGGGAGCAGGGAGAAGTCAGAGCCAACAGTTTGGACACGAATACAATATTCACACTCATGGGGAGAAACCAATGTTGAAGACTTGGAAGAGAGGTTAAAATAAAAGAGTATCTCTCCCTTGCAAAGGACAGAGCTCAGGGTAGTCTCATGTCTACAAGGATCTGCAACTTTATGTGATATCATGCCCTGTTCATATACATTTTTACCGATATGATTAATTTGCAGTCAAAGCCATACCAAAAATCACTGGAAAGCAAACTTTCCCCTACATAGGCAACAAAACTTCTTAGTTTGCACTTATGACCTCAGTGTCAAAACACACTGGGCATGCAGCACATACCTGTTCCTTGGACAGGTACTTCAGGTCATTAGTATGGAAGCTTTTATCCCCCTTCCAATTTGCACCCAGCCTCAGGGCAGTTGTACCCAAAATTCAAGAGACATTTGAGTCTCTAACATACCAGTGATGTTGAAACACTCATTCTGTTGAGTCCTGAACAGTGACAATGACAACTTACAGTCTTGATGGTGTGGACACTTGGGTCATCTGGGTGAGTTTAAATTAAAGGGGAATACAGGCAAGGAGCTGCCAAGCCTGTGATAAATCACAGCTGGACAGAACTTTGATCTGAGTGCTCCAGGCTCTTTCCCTGCTCTTCTTTAACATCAGCTCTGTGGCCATATCCATGTCACAGGGACAGTTGTACTTTAAAGGCAGTCTGACCAAATCTCTTCTGTTTTGGTCACATTCCATGAAGCTTTAGGACATACGGCTTTTTCTGCTTTTTTATGGAAATTCAGAAGGGCTGAAAAAGGGATAACCCACTCACCTCAAGGTGCTTCACTGATGTCTCTTCCCTGCCTTTAATGAATCCTAAGTCTCAGAGTTTGTCCTGCTCAGGGACTTCCCTACCAAGCTGCTCTTGAAAGTACCACATACCTTCTCTTTCTTGTCTTTTGTCTTCTTTTTCTCTTTATCGCTTTCCTTTTCTTTCTTAGAGGATGTCTGTTTTTCCTTGTTCTCTTTGTTCTCTTTCTTCTTCTGTTTCTTTTTCACTGGGCTCTTGTCCAGGCCATCCTCCTAGAACATCAGCCACAGCACAAAGTTGGAGTCCCTTACCTCATGTACATTTTCTTCCATAAAACATCCTTAAAACACAGGCAATCTTTTGAGGTCCATCCAGATTTACCCTCACACCTTCTTAAGCAGAGAGCGAGCCCTGCTCAAACAGCTGCCATCCCCCCAGTGTGACAAAAGGGTATGAAAACCAGCCCAGCCCCACTCTGTGACAAGCTGGCAAGCTGCAGAGCAGCCCTGCTCTCCTGTGCCAGCTGCGCTCCAGAACGCTCAGCCCCTGAGGTAGATACTGATCAGCACACGAACAAAAAGCCTCAGACTACAAGCCAAACCACTCAAAGACTGAACATTTTCTAAGCAACAGCATGACCTTGGTAAACTCCAGTTTCACCACGGGCTGACGTGCCCAAAAGAAGAGGGAAACAATTCTTCTTTCTCTCCTTTATAAGGGCAACAGGCTTTGTCCTGAGACAACCTTTCCCCTGAGTCAATACGTGGATGTTTGTGGCCATTCTGGGATGCCACAAATCCCTTAAAGCACTGACCTAAAAGAATAGGTGGGGAAGGTTCTTCTTTCACACCAATAGCTGTATGGGTGGTTTTGTGTGTTTGCCAGTCCTGTGGGATTTTGCTCTTAGTGCCTCTGACTCCTGGGGGCTTTGCTGGGAATGCTTTCCAAGGTGAGGTTGGGCAGTAACAGCACAGCCCAACCTGGAAAAGCCACTATTCACCAAGGCTGACCCACCTTGACTTCACCTTCTTCTGACTGGTTGTCTGAGTGCCGAGGAGAGGAGAGTTCATTCCCATGCTCATCTTTGACTTTGGGAGCCTTGTTCTCTTTCTTTACTCGTGGTTTCCTCTTCTTTAGCTTGCCCTGGTAAAAACATAGAACAAGTCAGGGAAAGCAAATAGCTACAGCTACTTCCTGGGGATATTTCCCATCTCCTGAATATTGTGCAAACAGCTGCAGGTCCTACACACTGGCAGGAAGCCTGATGAGCCCAAATTCTTAAGTATGTGCAGTAATAACCTGCCCCTTATTAGTTATCATTTAAACTAGAAATATCACGGTACAATCAGACAATAGACAAGTCTATATTCCTTCACAGAAATGATGTCTGGTGATCTGGGAACACAGGGTGTCTCCTGCCATCAGCAACCACTCCCCTGAAACCCCCAGAATCAAGCAGCCACATCTCACCTCTTCCCCATCTTTCATATTTTCTTTCTTGTCCAGATCCTTTTTCAACAATTTCAGTAGATAATCAACTCGGGTCTGGAGCTGTTTTCCCTGAGGTTTCTTATCTGTCTCAACAGGTAGGATCTTTGATAGAGCAGAAAAAAGCAATATATACATACCCATATGCACAAAGCTTGACAAAAGATTTACACATCAGCAGCAGCCCTTCCAGGCCCAGCAAAGGGCAGCAGATGCTGCACCTTCTGAGGGATCAAGAGGGCTCAAGCCTGCCTTCCCCCTCTCAGACTGTCCCTGTCTGGCCAAAGGCAAAGCTCCTAGGAAGCAAGCATCCTTCCCCTTGGAATCCTGCAGAAGTTAAAGGATCCCAAGGCTTGCTAAGCCTTGCAAGCTTGCTAAGTTCTCTTGAATGAAAAAAATTCTTTACAAGCTGTACGTGGGACCTCAAGTTGCAAAACCTCGAGTCCACTCGCCTTGACACATCAGATTTGTTTGTGACTGCCAGGTCACTCTGGTAACCTGAGGCATCACTACAGCAGGGGCACAGATACACAACTTTTAGTGGAAAACAAGGCTGAAAGGTGACACTTTGTGGAGGAAATAGCTCAGCTTGCCAGCTAGGTTTGCTTCACACTTCACTGGAAAATGGCTGGCGTGTCTCAGGCAGCTGTTTCCATTGCAAAGCACCTTTCTGAGCTCCACACATGGAGGGCTCCCAGGCAGGGCCTGATCTTTGCTAGAAGCACCAGCAGGGATGTCACAGGAATGCTGCAGACTGGCAGCAAAAGCTGCTGTGGAGATTCCCAGTGCTCCTCAGCCCTGTGCTGCAGTTTCCACACTCTTTCCACCACACTAACACAAGGGATGGTGGATTATTTTTAACCCAGATCATTTCAACATGGTGTCTGTAAGCTGTTCTTGTGGGGATGACTGAGGAACAGAGGAACTAGATGGAGGCTTTCCAGCTGGCTGTGCTGCCATTCCCAGCCGTGTAACCATACCCTCAAAGCTAACACAGACCAGCCTTGACACATAAGCAGTGTCAAATCTGTGAAAAATTATTCCCACTCAAAAATTCACACTCAGCTTCTTGTGAGATGCTCAAGGAAACATCAAATCACAGCCTCTTTTATCCTGTGCATGGAACCACACATGTCAGCACTGCCCTTTTCTGCCTGCATCATTCCAGTGTGGTTCACCTGGAACTGCTCACCAAATGACACAACTCTGCTTTCCATCAAGCATGCAACATTCCACAAAAGTCACTGTTTTCCTAATTATTATTCACCATGATTTTTGGAGTAGTTACAAACATAAACATCTGTTCCTGGAGTAAATGAGGCATGTTTGCTATGAGCCCTGCAATGGACCCAATGGAAGCACCAAGCAAAGCGACCTACCTTATCAGATAACTTCAACTCCGGATCTGTTTTAATTAGCTCCCAGTTTCCATAACCATGCTCGTAAATTCCCACTAACAAGCGAGAATCCTCCTCCACTCCCCAGTCTACATCAAAATGAGCAGCTTTGACACGGCACGTCAGGCGGTACCTAAAGGCATGTCAAACACGAGCTACTTTTAATGCTATGGAGGACAAAGCAAATCCACACATCCAGGCTATTCTCTTTCCACTACAAAATCCAAATTCCCTGAGCCTCTTTCTGCATTGCCTACTTAGCCAAACTCACTTCTTCCTTTCCTCTGGATCCGAGGGAATGGATTTGTGCAGCATTTCAAACTCCTCTTCATGCTGGATGATGGACTTCACATTGACTTGGACACCAGAAATCTTGATGGTAGGACCTCGTCTCTTTCCAGGTCCTTTTCCTGCTCAGCAATAAAACAGCAATTAAGAGAACTCTTACAGAAGGAAATGTCTCTGCAAAATGGCTTCACAGACAGAGATCAGCACTTTGCCTGCAGCCTCTTATTTAAACATAAGGCCCAAAATACAAGTTTTCTTCCACTATCTCACTTAGATGTGCAATTTAAACCCCTTCCAGTATAATTTTCTTAAAAATACTTCTAAATATACTGGAGCTGTTAATTCTGCAGTCTTAGTCAACTGCAACAAGCACAGACCCAGCAGGAAATCCATCCCTGACTCTGAATGTCCAAACAAACAGCAAAGAACAGCCAGACAGAGAGTGGGTGCTGATTCCAGCTCTGGGAATTGCTAACTGTGGATCCAGCTTTACCATGGAGTACACAGCAGCAGTTTGATTTCCAGTCCCAGGAGGAATTGAAGTAAGACCTGCTTTGCTTTGTGGCCCAGCATTCAATAAGCTGGTCACTTCAGTCTCTCCCCACAAAAACTCATGTCCAGCAGAAGCTGACAGACCTAAGTGGCACTGTCCAGTCTGAGCAGAATGCTCAGGGGTTCCTCTCTGTGGTGAGAGCTGCCTGGCAGAGATGGGGTGTTTTAAGTGTGCTCTTGTTCATTGCTTGCTTCTAAGTCACAACATGACCTCCCTGTCCAGCATGGGAATGGTTTCCTCACAAGCTCTGTGGAACACTCCCAAAACCATCCCAACAGCAGCACACAACTCCCTTGCCTACCTTCTGCTGGATTTTCCTTCAGCTGCTCCTCATATTCCTGCATTGCTGACACACAACTGTTGTGGATGAGCTCCCCTAACCGCTTCAGGTCAGCCACAGACTTATCCACCAGCTCAGCATCCCGGGCAATGCACTCCAGCCTGGGAAACAGGGAGAGGTTTGTGTTTGATGCAGCAAATCTTCTCTCAATCCTATTCCAAATCTTCCTATTCAATTGTTTCACAGCTCAGTGCTGTACAAGTATGAATGTATGAAACATGCACGAGTTGAATTCGTGCAGGAAACAACCCAGGTTTTGTCTTTTTTTTGGTCTAACAGCTGCAGTGCAGATGTAGAAAAACTGATCCAATCCTTTGGAATTTTTAGTAGCAAAGCAAAGCTGAGAACTGTCTATCTTGGGGACAACAGGGACTCTCTGTGACTGTCCAGTATTCCCTCAGGCTTTTCCAGTGCCACATTAATTCCATTTGATGGTCCAAAGCTGCCATCTGCTGTCCCTTTTGCCTGCCTGAAGTCAGTAAAATCAAGACTCACAAGCAAGCCTTGTATTTCATACCAGAAAAGTAGAACCAGATGAAGAAGCACTGAATTTCTCCTACAATACCTTCAGGGAACTCTGCCTTAGCCCTGAGACCTTCCAGAGCCAGCACAGGGCCAGGGCTCTGCAGATCCACATTTGAGGACCATGCCACTCTTTGTTTCCCTTCAGGAGGGATAGAGGATGGAAAGATGCTCCAGACTCAGTCCTGAGACTAAGGTACACAGAGAAGCTTGGCATTTTCTGTTCTGACAGCTGCTCCCTCTCCTTTCTGAGCAGAGTGGGAATTCTCCAAGGGCCAGACTGTGCCAGCAGGACAGTGGTGTGTCACAGCCCAGCACCACAACTGCTCCAGCTGGTTTTTAGCCAGCATTTGTCAGTGTCCATCAACAGAGACACCTGGGACTGCAGAGCAGTGCCTGGGGTCTGATGGCAGGACAGAAAGGCTTGTGCTGTCTGTGGAGCTTGTGTCAAACACCCAGAGCAATGTGTGCCTGGCTGTGCTCACAGGTACAATGTGCCTCCATGATTCCCCTCTGGAGCAGTCCAGGCTGGCACTCACCGTTCCAGAGGCAGTCCAAACTTCTTGTAAGCCTTGATAAACCTAAAGAGAAAAAAAAATTAAAAAAAAAAAAACCAAACTAAACTAACTGCCATAAAAAGTAGGTCCAATAACAAAAATATGCTTGAATACATTAATTACAGCCTGTCACATTATCACCCTTGCATTCCCCACTGATCAGCTCAGCATCCCTCAGCACTGGGAATCTGCATCCATTAGCCCCCACAAAGAGTTTTGTGACCTTGGCTGAAGAAGAACACAACATTGTTAAGAATGTTGAGTGTTTGACAGATGAGAAAAAAAAATAAATAAAAAGAGGAGAGTGGTAACTGCAGGACAAAAAACAAGAAATAGAAGAAAGCTTTGGCTCACACTATGTTGGTAATTATTAACTTCATTTTTCCAGGAAGAAAAGAGGCATTAAATCAATGTCATTAGTAATTTTAAAGCTCAGGCTGGAAATGTAGCAGCCCATCACAGAAGAGCCAAATGTGTCTCAATCCATCACAGAGGTTTGCTATTTATTTTCATGTCTTATTTTTATTGTGAAAATCTCTGCTGTGGCTAACACAACTTTAGGGCAAGAGATGCAGCAATCAAACATTGCCTTGAGCTGTAAGTAGACACAATGGCTACAACTACAGGTTATTTTTTAAATTAATTAATTTTTTTGCCTTCTTTTTTCATTTTGTATTCTTTCTGCTACATCACAATAAGCTAAATGGCTGTTATATTGCATATTGTAACATGTCCTTCCTGCTCCATGGTTTCAAGATGGTTATGGGGCAGCTACCACAGCCCAAAAACTCTGATATCTCCTGCTTAAAAATACACCAGCTCAGGGATAGAAAGAGTTAAGGAAAACTCCTAACTCCCTCTCTTCCATCTTTGGCTGAACATCTGGGTAGAGCTGTAAGACAAAGATCTCTGGGAAAGACTCAAGAATTAGAAGATAGGAGAAGAAAACCCCAGCTGACATCAGAGACTGACACACAACCACTCGGATCAACAGGACCAGTGCTTCTCGTGAGGTCATTTTGCCAGAGCCTGCCTTTCAACTGAGAGCTTAAATCAGCAGGATGACTGCCAGAAAAATGTCAGGAAGGCCAGAGCCCTTGGCTTCTCCAGGTCTGCAGCTCATGGCACCTAAGAGCTCACGTTATACGACATTAGCTCGATCCACTTGGCCCACAAAGGGCAGTTACAGCACGGATTAATTTTAAGAAGGTACCAGCTTCACTGTAGCCTGACTAAAGACAATCCAGTTCATTTTGTACTGACCTGAATGCTAAGGTCATCAGCTGGGGTCAAACTGAATTATATAAAGGTGCAGAAAATGTGCCAGTGAAGCAGCTCTGCCTAACCACTGACGTGCTTACAGGTTAACAAGCCCTGGATTAATCTGGGATTTTCTCCACCTGCATGGGATTTCTATATTTGTTTTCTGAACTGTCTCTTGTGCCCAGCACTGACCTCCTGATTTCAGCATCAGTAAATCCTTCCACAGTGTCTTTTCTAACACTCCGAGGGCGTCCCCTGCGCTTCGGTCTCTTCTCGTCGTCGGTGTCATCAGTCTCGCTTTCTGATCCAGATGATCTCTGAAGCCTTCTCTTGGTCTCTGCATCGGATTCACTGTCATTTGTCTGAGCCTGCACGTACCAGGGAAACAGCAGTGCAGTTAACAACTGCTAATACAATCAGCTGACGACCTTTTCTGCCCCTCTGTTCGCTGGCACTATTTAATGGACTGTGAAACACCTGAGCATCCATTCCTGCAGATGCAGAATCCCAGGTGACCAACCCAGAGAGGCTGCACACCTTGCAGTTCCCATCTGGCTGAGCCTCTGGTGCTCATCCTCCTTTTATAACCACCAGTTTCACAGCTGCATTTTGATCTATTAAGAGATGTTAAAATATTGATTTTCATGGGGTTTTGCCACAGTCCCATAGACTGTTTTGAAAACCGTGACACTTCAGTAACTAACCTGGATTCATCCAATATGAATTATCCTTCTCTGTGTTTTTAACATCAATATTTTTCCCCAGCTCACCCCAGAGAACAGCTCTCTGTCTTCCCTTAAAGTCTCATGTCCCAGCAGAGCCTCCTTGCACAGTCAGCTTTCTTTTGGATTGGGGTAGATCCCATTACCTAAAGAATTTGGGAAGCCACCACTTCTTTGGCTCCTCAGGATCCATCTTTAGGCAAGTGCCACCCAGGGAGCTAAAAAGCCCAAGGAAATGAGACAGCCAAAAAGTGGCAAAATCTGAAGCAAAATCCAATACAATTGGATACTTTGCTTTGTGGTCACTACTGATTCTTTTGATTTTGTCTGCTAAGGTGAGATGAGTCGCACCAAGTCCAGTCTGGGCCCTCACCCTGCATCCCAAACCATTGGTCCAATGCACAGTGCCAACAAGTGGTCACCGTGCTCTCTGTCCTTTATCCCCAACCAACTTTGGAGGAGGGAAAGATGCTCAGATGGCAAGGAGGCTTCTCCTGAGCATTCCCTTTGCCAGCTCTCTCCACCAGCCTCTCACCCCCTCAAGATGGGCTGTACCTTTTTAGTTGAGCTCCGGATTCGAGGCAGCATGTAGATTTCCTCCAATTCTTTCTGCCTTTCTTCCTCCTCCACCTTTTTCCTCTGCTCTTCTGGAATGATATCATCCCAGTCCTTCTGGGACCGCTCATCCAGCTCTGTCTCTTCCTCCTCCATGGTTGCAAAGTTGGCAACCTTTAACAAGCAAAGGAGAAGCTTTAGCAATTCCCTCCCCTAGCAGGAACACCCCAGAGCTGTCTGCTAAGCCTCAACTTCTTCTCCATAGGAATTCTGCCAACATTTCCATAACTACTTCATAATTGATCCCTATGTCACTACATTCCTGGCTCCTTGCCATGTCTTTGGACTAACAGCTTTTGAGGAAGTACGTGCAGTTTAAGAAGTACTGCTGAGTATTTGTAAATTATAGAGTTTGTTTCCAAATTTGGTAAATTCTGCATTTTATTCACAAATTTTATTCACTTCAAAACCACTTAGTTGAAATTAAATGAATACCTACATCGGGGGGTTGGAACTGGATGATCTCTAACTTCCCTTCCAACCCAAACCACCTTTGATTCTATGATCTCTCCGAGGTGTTCCTGCCTGTTACTGACCTCACCACCATGGCAGGGTGTGGGGAGCCACATTCCCACACCCCACTACTGAGCCTGGGGGTCCATACCTTGAACTGTGAGAGCAGCTCGTCGGTGGCACTGGTGGACACCTCATTCTCCCGTGTTTCAGCCAGACGCAGAATCTCATCGATGTCCATCTCCTGCCAGTCAGGGAGAAGGAGGGATAAAGCAGAGGGTGCCAGGCACAGCGGGAAGTAAGAGGCTTTGAGAACAGACTCGTGTGCTGATATGAGCTAAATAAAGTGCAAATATCTGCAGGGTGTCATCCTGGAGGGCAGGGATGAACTATCTCAAGTGGTACAACGAAGTACAAATAAGGTGACAGGACAGAAGGAAAGGACCATTAAGGCTGAACAGTGGGGAAAATTCCCAGGCAGTGAGATGTATGAACTGTAGACTGTTTCCTTGGGGGGAAGCTCTGCTGCTTGGGTCATTAAGAGAATTGGTCAAAACACTCAATGCTAAACTGTCTAGCAATGTTACACTGAGGCAGGAGAGAGCAACCTGTTTGCTGCACTGTGCTGACTCCTGCCTCGCTCAGAACCACCAAAAAAGGATGCTGAACAAGTGCTCAGAAGAGGCAGGGAGAGAAGCCTTCAGCAGGCTGTGCTGTCACTAGCTAATAATCCTCAGGAGGCAAAGGACTGCCTTGGTGACCATTTATTTAATCCCCAACAAGGCTCTCCTCATCCCCTGATCCTCCAGTCCCAAACTCTGCTTTCAGATTCTCCAGACTCCCACATGTCCTATTCATCACCAACCTGCTTTCACACACAGGACAAGAACAAAGCAGGAGCAACCACACACAGTCGCTCTAGCAGACCTGCAGAGCACTACAAACTGTTATGTGATTTCAATTTCAAACTACCTGAGGCTCTGACTCTTCCCCTTCAAGCTCCTTGAAAAGATCTTCAGCTCCAAACTTCAAAATAGCTGTCAGCTCCTCTTTGTTGAAGGGATTTGAGCTGCAAGAACAAGAGAAGGAAAAGGTGTTTTGAGCTGTTCAGTCAGAACTGCTACAGCACAAAACCATACCAAAGTTTTTCCTAATTGAAGCAAGGAGTAAGTTTTCTACCCAGCACTATAAAATGCTTTGTTATTAATCTCTCTCCTGCTCTAGCACAGACAAAGACTGCAATGGGAATCACCTCCATCTACTGGGGGAAATGAAGAAAATCTGAGGTCACTGCCAAAATGCAGCTGTTCCACAGTAAGGTTCCCTCAGACCAGGATGGGTCTGAGGTGGAAGACAGACGCAAAAACAAGTAGTGCCCTAAAACTAGTTTTAAATTTCTGATCATCTTCATCATATGTGTCCAAATTAATAGCTGCAGAAGCCAAACCTGTGGAAGCTGCCATTATTTATTAGCCTTCTGCCCTGTACCCTATCAAATAAATACTGTGAAATGCCAGCAGGTGAGGCTGATTATGCCATGTGCTCCAGACATTTCTGCCTCCTGACACCATCACGTACTTGGATCTCCCGGAGTTGTTGTCCAGAACAGTCCGGCCAGTGGTGTCCATACGCTGAATAACCAAATGATCCAGCACCATCTTCTTCTTGGCTCTCTCAATGATCTCCTCCTCCACTGTCCCCTTTGTGACCAGGCGGTAAATATTCACCTGAGAGGTAAAAAAAGCACAGCTATTTCCTGGACAGGCTCTGCTGGTACAGCAATGCATCCCTCAGCTGTTTTCACTGGGCTGCTGGCATTGTCTCTTCATGTACTTCCTTTCCAGAAGGAAAACAAGCACATTCTCTCTGTATTTCAGGAGATCCAGTTAAAATCAGGATGTACTGATCCTGTAGTGTGACTAAGCACAGAGTAAAAATCTTCTGAAACAATCACTCTAAATTTAAACTAGCACCAAACTAGCTTTTCACATCTCTAATAACCCCTAGTAAAGGTGGATGTTCTACTTTCTAAGTTTATCAGGGCAAGAAAGAACAGAATCCACTAGGACTAGGCTGAGAAGTGCAGTGCCATGGGCTGGGTTCTGGGTTTGCTCAGAACCAACAGAAAGAATTTGCACCTGGCAAATCTGGGCTGGTTTTTTTTGTCTCCTGCTTTTTAAAATGAGAGTCCCTCAGTCAGCACTCTCTGGAGCAAGGACTGGGACAAAAAGCCCATGTTTTCAGAAGCTTTGGCGAGGTGAGAGGATGTTTAGATGCCCACACTGAAGCCACAGTGAAAACAACCCAGGCAGCTCCTCTGACCTGCTTCTTTTGTCCAATCCGATGAGCTCGAGCCTGAGCCTGAAGATCATTTTGGGGGTTCCAGTCCGAGTCAAAGATAACAACAGTATCAGCAGAGGCCAAATTAATTCCCAGCCCTCCAGCTCGTGTTGACAACAAGAAACAGAAGTCCTGAGAAGGGAAAAATAGAAAGCATCCATGAGTTAACCAGCTTGTAACTGTGGGCATAAAATAGCAATACTGACTCAAAAGCTGTAAAAGGAAATGGAGGGAAGACTCTGTTGCACTCATGCTTCTTAAAGCAGAAAAAGGATTTCCTTTCCATAAACCCTGTTCATGCAGGCTGAGCAGCAGCACCAATCTTTAGGTCCAGACCAAGGGTGAGGCAGTGCTGGCCCAGGTGAAGGGTGTGAATCAATATGGGAGAGCAACACAAGCAGCTCAAGGCAAGGGCACCCTGGAGTCACTTCTGAAGGTCAGACTGTGCTGCCCACCAGACTCCTACAAAGGCAGCAGACAAACACCTGCTTTTTGTTGCCTGAATCCTGTTAGGAGTGAGATCAGCAATGAACAGATTGTGCCAGGTTAGAGCCACGATGCCTGAGCCCCCATGGATGTCCTCAGGACAGGGAAAAGGACAGGTTCTATGGGCATTCGTGCTCCTTCCCCCACTCACACACTTTCTTTTGTTAACTTTCCTACAACCACGGTCTTTCACAATTCCCATGTGAGCCAAGAAATCTGCTCCAGCCCAGGCTTTTGGAGTGAAGAAAGGTATTTCTCACAGCTGGGTTGACTGACACAAAAACAAGTGTCTTGCACCAGTCACTGTGAGTCAGCAAGCCAGATGAGAGGTTTTAGATGCCCTCTCCTATTACACTGGAGACTTTCACCTCCAGCACCAGACTCCACTGCCTGCCAACACTTAAAATCCTTCTTTTGCCTCTGTCATTTCATATTCAAAACCAGCTTCAGACTGGAATCACTCAGCAACCATCTCATTCTCCAGACCAATAGGGAGAGAATTGCTAAATTTTGGTTCTTCCCAGCCTCTTCAGGACTTTCTGGAAATGTGACTTGCAGCCCTGTTCCTTGGTTGTGAGAGATTTAAAATAAGCAACATGGCTGGTTGGAAAACCTGCCATATCCATGTCTTTAAAAGTACCTGGTGTCCTGTGAAAAGAACTGAACTGAACTAATCCCCTCTTGTCAGTCACAACCTGTGGCTCAGCCACAAACCCTCAGCCCAGGACTGCAGTACCTCGGAGCCGTCGGCGTTGAAGTGATCCAGCGCCTGCTTTCGGATCTCCCCCTTGATCGAGCCGTCCAAGCGCTGCAAAAACCAACAATAATGATAAAAGAAAGAAGGTAAAGCAGCCCTGAGGGACTGCTGCACCCGAGTACTGTCAGCCCTACAGCCCCCTTTGCTGCCTGCAGCGTTTATTTGTTAAAAATAGCCACCAATTATAAATAACTGCACTGCCTCAGCTGTGTCACAAGGGCTGGGGGATGCTCAGGGAACAGGCACAAAGCGGGTGACACAGCAGCTCCCATTACAGCCTCGCAGCCAGGCTCTCAGTGCTCACTGTCCTCAGGGTTTATCACATGACAGAGCCCAAAGCAGGGGCCTGTCAGAGGAGTTTTGCAGAGATGGGGCCACACTGAAATGAAGGGACATCCCAGTTCCCTCCAGTAAGTGCCAACCCCAGCCACCAACCTGCAGGGGACTCAGTGACTCCCATTGCTCAAGCTCCCTCCACTTTTTCCCACACTTTCAAGGGGACCCCACTGTTTTCCATGCTGGTGTTTCTCACCTGAAAAGGGTAGTGTTTGATAGTCAGGTACTCTGCCAAGATGTCCAGCATCCTCACCATCTGGGAGAAGATCAGCACTCTGTTGCCTCTCTCCCGCAGCCTAGTCAGCAGCTTGTCCAAGAGAATCAGCTTTCCACTGCTCCTGATCAAAGACTGAAGAAACAACCATCATTTCCAATCTTACCCTTATGTACATCACACAGAGACCTGCACAGACCTGCTCCTTTTGGAGTCATTCATCTCTTGTACATCTCTAACCCAATCATCTGGATTTACACAGCAGAGCCCACACACACAGTGAATCACACAAGATAGATCTTACACTGCCCACAACTCCTGTTCTAGAAAGCCATAAAATGTTGCCTACAGTGAAGGGCTGGGGATTCAAATGGCTTGTAAGAACTATTTTTAAAGAAGTAGCTAAAGTTTCACAAGATATTATTTTATTGGGAGGACAAAAGAATGAAATTTAAGGGAAAAAGGTGGTGACCAAGGACCCCACTCACCTGCAGGGTCTCAATGCCATTCTCTCTCTCATTTTCCTCAGGAGGTTTGATAAGGTAGCAATGGTTGCAGCACTTTTTCAATTCCATCACAATATTCAGGAAACCAGACGTGCTTCCCCTTGTTCCCTTTGAAAGAGCTTTGTAGTTTCTTGTCAAAATCCACCTGCGGGCAGGAAAATTAAAGTCTGGATCATTACTCAGTGCAGAGTGGAGTCTTGGAGGAACAAAACCTCCAGGAACAGCTCATTCAGGCATCAGTCTACCTCCCTCCATCTCACCTCATTTCTTTTACAGGATGCTTCTTCCTCTCTAAAAATCCTGACCTGACTTTCCTGTTGATATAATCACAGCTTAATGTTGAACAGCATCCCAACTTTGTGCATATTGTCACTCTTACCCTATATATATATATATATCTTCCTATATCTTAGGAAAGATATAACCTCTGTCTTGCAAAACTGGCCAGTTGAACTGTACCACTCTACAAAAACGTCTTCCAGAAGGAAAGATACCAACAACCCCACCTCATATTCCTACTGGGAAGCTCCCAGTACTGCAGGTGATGGTGTCACATTGCACTCTGAAGGCCACAGTTATGCACAGAATACTGGAACACATTTCCAAGGCCCCCAGAAAGATGTGCCCCTTTCTACTGGCACCCCCAGTAACTCATTCAGTGACTCACTTGTAATACTGCTTCTGCAGAGCAGACATTTCCACTCGCAGGATCTGCTCCACTTTGGCTGGCAAAGATTTCTCCACATCCTTCTTCACTCTGCGCAGGAGAAACGGCTCCAGGACTTTGTGAAGGCTCTGGTAGCCATTCTCTCGACCTTTCCCGTGATCCTCCTCAAAATCCTCCCAGAACTCAAACCTGGCAACAGAAAGGAGGAGAAGGGAGGAGTCAGAATACCTCTTGTCTTATGGCACCAAACAGCATCTATTGGATACACTCCTGCTGCACCACAAGACAGGAGACCAGCAGTTTAATGGAAACACAGTGGAAGAGAACAGATTCGCTCTGCTCTGGTTAACTGAACAGACTGGTGGCAAAGTTAGAGGATCTCTGGGCTTAGACACCTTCCTAACATCTTATATTTGAGCTCCACACTGAGTCCCAGGACCCAAAATCCCAAGTTTCCCACTATTTTACTCTGTTGGCATTTACCTGGCAGCAGTTTCTGAACTTTCCACGGTGCCTCCCCCAGGCACGGCTTTGACAACTGGACTGTTTTACCCTGCTCTGAAGGTTCTTTTGGGATTGTTGCTTCCTCTGACAGCTCCTTTGAAATGTGGAGATCCGCTCTCCTCCACTTGGGAGACCTCAAGCCTCTCTTTCACTCTTTCTGTGATCCAACAAAAAGAATTTGGGGGACAGCTCTTCTTGCAGTGAAACATAATTTCAGTGAGCTTTGGGGCATGCCTGCCTTAGCCTTAGAGATGCCTGTAACTCAATTTATTCTAAAGAAAACAAAACATTTGTTACACTGTGGACACACAATCATCCAGACAGCACTCTCAGAGCTGCCATGAAATGGTTGGCAGAGGTGCCTGAACCACAGTGTACTGGAAACCTCAGAAATGGCTGAAAAGATTGCTTAAAACAAATTTAATTTTTTAGAGATGGCTGGAAGACAGCAGACAGATTTGAAAGGCATATATCAGGTTTCCCCATTCAGTTTGCTGCCAGAAATACTACTTGTGTTAGTTATTTAACCTTTGATTTTCCCCACTAATGCCTGCTCTCCTATCATTGCTGTCACACCACTGAGTTTAATTCAGGGATTTAATTCAGGGATTTCTGCCATTCTGCACTCCCTTGAGCCTATTGAACAGACAAGAATGGACAGAGGCATTTCTTGGAAGGCCCAAAAGGAGACTCACTTCTCTGGCATGATGAAGTGCAGCAGGGACCAGAGCTCCTTGAGTGAGTTCTGGAGCGGGGTGCCAGTGATCAGCAGCCTGTGGTTGGACTTGAAATCAATCAGTGTTTTGTACAGCAAGGAGTCGTCATTTTTCAGCCGATGGGCTTCGTCCACGCCTAGAAAGGCCCAGTTAATGCTTCCCAAAACAGTCTGGAGGAAGAGAAGGAAAAACAGGCACCGATGAGACGCTGGGTCAGACAGGCCCCACCACCCTGCAGGTGTGTCTCCCTCCAAGGCCAGGCAGCCCTGCAGTGTGTGCTGTCCTGGGTGTCCTCACCCTGCGCCTGGACACTCACTTTGCTTCTTGCTAACAAAATCTGGGGGACCAGGGTGCTTTCCCAGAAAGGAAAAGGTGAAAATCAGCCATGCTGTACAACACTCCTGCTGTATCTGAATAGTCCTGCAACAGGTACTAATCCTCCTTTGCTTTACCCAAAAAGCACAGTCCTTCCCCAGATCTTTATTTCCCCTTTGGAGCCCTGGGTCCCACTGGAGCAAGAACAGGAGAGCAGATGAACAAGCCAAAAACATTCAGGTAATCCAAGAGTTTTGATTATCATTTTTTCTTAAGCTTTTTTTTTTTTTTTCTGCTAGGACTCAGTGATACACTGACAGAGCTGATAATATTTCCTAAATAGACAGATTTCTTGTAGATGTAAAAATTCAAACACCGTTAACACTGTGGCCAGAGGTTCAGTGTAATGTTTTGTCCTCATAACAAGCTTAAATTAAACCAGGTAAAAATCCAGGTTGCTGGACATGCCAGATGTCTCATGTAAAAAGAATAGCACAACTGTGCAGTGAAAGAGTGAAGGCACTGTAAAATGTAAAATGTGTCCCACTTTCCCACATGCTTGCATTACTGGGAAGGAAAAGCAAACAGTGGCTGCAGTTCTTCATCACCACAGAGGGAAGAGATGAAACCCACTAGCTGAGAACTGGCTTTCCCCTTTGAAAATGAGAGAAAGTCTAAGTAAAAGCATCCTTGGACCATTACTCACCTTATCCTTCAGAAGGATCTCATAAGTTGTGATAAGTGCATTGAATTTCAATCTTTTAGACTGAGAATGGATCCATTCGTATTCACGTATCTGTGAGGGGAGACAAAAGTTAACTTGAACACGTTACCAAGAGGAAAGAGTTAACAATTGTTATTTTTGTGTAGCTGTAAGCCAGAGACTCCAACCAAGTCCAAAGCCCTGTTCCAAGGTGCAATTTGATGAGCTCAAGGTCCCCAAGGAACAATTTTTTTTAGAGCAGACAAGGTTCACCTGCCCTTGCACAGGTAACAAAACAAGGTTAACTTGCTGTTGTGACATTGATAAGCACATCACCTCACTGCAGACACCACTAGAGTCCCAACACTTGTCTGTTCCATTGTCTGAACAGTTCCAAACACTGAAGAGAAGCACTTTTACACTGCTGGACTTCTTACTGCATGTTCTAGTCCAGATCAGTACTGGCTTCCAGACTCTGAGAGAAGCCAGTACTCCTGCACACAATCCAAGGCAAAATAAAGCAGAAAATTTCCTGCAGCAGTGAGTTACACCCACACACTCAGCTACACCAGCTCCAGCTGCCTGCACTGCTGCCAGCACTATCCACCAGCCTCTCCAGCTGACTGTGTCACACACATCACACACAGTCTGCTGCTTTGCACCCAGTGCTTCTCCCTGAGCCCTCACCCTTTGCTCTCTGATTACACACCATGTTCCTGCTCATGAGGTCTCCAATGTAAACCACCACGTTTATCTCGGGTGCCCACACTTCAAACTCCCTCTGCCAGGAGGTGAGGGTGGACAGGGGCACGACCACCAGGAAAGGGCCATACAGCTGGTGCTGATGGAACAGGTATGACAGGAATGATATTGTCTGAATCGTCTTGCCCAGTCCCATTTCATCAGCCAGGATCACGCTGTTGTTCCTGAGAAAGAGGAGAACAAACAGAAATGCTGTCTGAGTGCATGTTTCTGCTGCTGCTCATTTACTGTGCTCCACATGAACAGCAATCCACAACAAGGACAGAGAGGGGCAGTGCAAAAACAGTTATTTTAACACTTCCACGTGGATCCCAGGGACAGACAGACTGAACATGCCACAATAATGTGCAAAAATGAACTATGGTGACTCCAAACTGGAAGAAAACAGGCAAAGGCAGAGGGCAATCAGTGGCCTAATTTTAGAAGGACATTTCTCAAAAACTTCAATGAGAATATAAGCACACTGAGCCAGAAACCATTTTTTCCCATTAAGTCAGTGGAAATCTAGGGCTGATATGTACCAGGCTTACATAACAGCCAAATTCATCATGTGAACAAGCCCAGACAGGGAAAATGCATTTTGTTTTCACACAAGGTTTCTTAAGTTCATGCTTTAAGTAGTTCCTGCTCACAGCATCTGCAATGATAACATTTGAAATCCTCCAAGCTGCAGAAGGAAGGTGGGCAAAGACCTCACTTGGAAAGGAGGAGTTCCAAATCCTTCTGGGACAAAAAAGCCACAGAATGAACATCACAGCCTCTGTACATACTTGCACCAGGAGTGAGCAAGCCAGTTGAGGCCCTCCAGCTGGTAATCCCGCAGCTCCAGGTTCTCCCCACCAATGTACGAGGGCTGCTTCTTCAAGGCAACAAACCTCGGCCTCTGCTTCAACACCTGGAAGAGATGCTGACATAAGTCCACTGAAGAGAAAGACAGAATTCTCAGTGGCTGAAAAGCTGAAAATTCAGCAGTGAAATCTATGAATTCAGCAAAGAGTGTGTATCTCTTCACTGGTTCAAGTTCATCCACATTTTCCTAGCCAGTGCTTGTGTCTGCATTTCTTGTGATTTGCCTGCTGCCCTCTGGTTTATGATCAGGCCTCTGAGCCCCCCAGGAGTGTAGTAAGCTGCACAAAATACATAAGGGATGGAACAAGCTCCACTTCCTTCTTTGTCCTCTTTTGGTTTTTCTCCCATTATTTCTGTCCCTCTCCTTCACTGTATCAGCATCTTGCAGGCTTCCTCTTTTCCCAGGTGTGCTGTTTTTTCATCCAACTGATATTAAAACTGCTGCAGCTCCTTCTGAGGAGGAAGCACTTTGTAAGGATTAATTAAGCCTCCCACTCCCCAGGGGGACATAACGTTCTCACTGTGCACAGAGTAAATGAAACTCAAAGGGCTTCACATCTCTGCTTGAAGTACAATACGAGCGCAGAAAACAGCCCTGCAAATGCAGGTGGGAGGATGGGAAAATGTTCTCTGACATTTATCCTGACAAAATTTCACGTTCCCACTGCTTGCATCTTCCCCCAGCCTGGAGGAAGCCAGCAAAAGAGAGAAGCCAGCAAACCTTGCAGTCCCGGGTGGGAATCGTCTTGGAGTTGTTACGGCTGTTGAAGCTGTCAATGCAGTGCTGAAATTTCTTGCTGATCAGAGCCTCATCTTCCCAGCTGCACTCGGCATAGGGCAGCCCCATCCACTTACACAGGTACTCAGGGTCATTTGAGGAAGTTTTGCGACTGTTTGCTGTCAAATATGCAAAAAAAGCCCAAAGCTCAGCAGCTGTGGTTGAGCAGCTGAACCACAAGCACAGTTCACAGCCTGGACAGACACAGGACAGGTCTTGGCTCAGGAAAGGTGTAGAGAGACCAAATAAATGTTCCTTTACCTGGGAAATCTGAATGTCCCGTGGCAGACTTGCTGGTCTTCACAGCTGTGTTTGGAGAGAAGGGAAGGGAGGGTTGGAATGCTGGCAGCCAGCAGAGGGAGCAGGGCAGGCGAGCACTGCCTCACACCCACGTTTTTACAGAAATTGCATTGGAAATAGGTTAAACAGCTCTCCAAGCCAGTTCCCAAAGCAACTGGGTGCTGGCACCTCTGACTGACATGACTGTGATATTACCAAAGTGCTCAGCAAGTTCTGTTTCTATTTTTATTAATCAATCATTAAAATCTCAACCCTGAGCTTCCTTGCAGTCTAACCACATCCTCAACCACACCACAGAAAGCAGATCTAACAAAAGCCAGACCCATTCTGCTGCTTTGGAAATAAACATCTTGCATCCAAAGGGTTGAAGACAAAGAAATTCAGTAGCCACAATTTCAGCAACCCAGTCATCCCATACTCCAGGCAAGGAGAGTCACTGATTTGTATTGCTTGGAAATACAAATTTGTAAACCTGGTTTTCTACTGTCCAAATTCCTAAATTTCACACAATGAAATGCAGTAAACACCGTAGGTTTTCTTCAGGGATACTGGAGGACAGGGAAAAAGAGACAACTGCACAATCATTCTGCTGTCACATGGAATAACGTTCCCATTCCTACTTCACCCCTTTACCAAAGTCTTGGCTCCACTTACCAATTACCCTCTCCACTATTTGATACTGTTTGTTCAGCTCTGAAGCCAGCTCTTGTTGGCAGTTGAAATATTCTACATCTTCAGGTGATACCTTGCCCAGCCTAGATGCAAAATAATTCAAAACAAACAACAAAAAAAACACTATAATGCTTCTGTCATAGTGCTCATGGATGTTGCATATAGGAAATCTATATGCATATTTTCTATATGATTCTATCATTCAGACAAGTCACAGAGGGAAACTACTGTTATTGACATATTTTTTAAATTTCCTACAATTATAAATTATTGCTGAGAAGCAAATGTCATAGATGTTCAGACTGTCTCCCTGTTAAATGCTGCCTTATGCAAGAATCAGTGTCAAAACAGGAACCAAATAGAGATGGAAGCTGCTACTCCAGCTTTAGCACTTTGGAAAGACATTGTAGCTCCCCTTATAGATCCTCGGGAAGCTGGACATAAACTGATGCAAAAACTTGTACACAGAGCCTAAAATCAGCAAGGGTTAATAAGGCTGCAAGCCCTCACAGCACCTCCTGGGCCAGGTGAGTCTGTGCACCATTTATTTGTCATTAGCCTTCCCAATTCTTAAGCCTAGGAAGTGGCAATAGTGTGGATTTCATGCCTTGTCCTCTCCATTTTCCAGCCATCCACACCACAGATATCATTTCTGTGGGGGGGACGCTCCTCAGCAGGCAAAGAGAGACCAGAGTGCACATGAAACACACTTTGTAAGAAGAAATCAAACATTTTCAGTCATGACTCCTCAAACCTCTGGCTAAAAACAATTTGCCCAAGGCCAAATCACTGCTTGAAATGAAACCTACCATTGCTTGATCTCCTCCTCTTTTTTCTTGAAGTTTTCTAGCTTTTTCAGGCCCTTCACTTTCTGCTGCTGCAAGGACTCCTCGCTCTCCCACGTGCTGTGGATGTATGACCAGCCTTTCCATTTGATCAAGTACTGAACTTCCCCCTCATCCTTCTCGGGGTCGAAGTCGGCGCTGGGGTTGCCGTTGGCCTCGGTCACGTACACCGTGGTGGAAGCTCCGATGGCTGCAAGAGAAACCAGCCTGCACTTGGTACCCTCGTTATCAACCACTGCACATCAGCTGCACTACAGCAAAAAGTTACTCTTCTAATACATCTTTTGTGGGAGCACAAAGAACATCCAAAAGATTCTGCAGCCCTGTAAGGCAGGCACACAAAAGTTTCCCATGCAACAGAATCTTTTTAAATCTGTCATAAGTAGCTTTTCTTTAAGTATAATTCAAAGGCCTCTCGAAAATGTTCACAACCATTCAGTTTTACAAAAACACTTTTGTAAGGCTTTGAGAACAAAACATTGGCTTTATTTTCATTATGGCTTTGTCAATGGGGCTATGAAAACTGACTCTCCTAGATCTGTTTTATATTTCAAAGCAGAGAAAAGCAGGAATTGCAGAACAATGGCTGCATCTTTAAAATGTGTGCAGGCTAAATGAAAGCTGCCGATCACAGAAACTACAGAGATTTTAGGATTTTAAATATTATATGTTACAAAAACCATTACATATTACAAGTGGTAAATAAGAGGCATAGAGGAAAAGATGAAAAGCACTGAAACAACCCTTGGCCCCACTTTAAAGTTGCAAAAGCATCGCACCAGCTCAAGAGAAACCGTGAGCGCGTGCGATTGCCATCAGAAATAAAGGCTTCTTCCAGAGCCACGCACCTCCCTTTTTTCCAAGCCTGATGTCCAAGACTTTCTCAATAGTTTCACTGTTGTCTTGTTGTTCATCAGCTCCTTCCCCAGTCATCTCTATCAGGTCATCAGAATCCGTCTCAAAATCATCATCCTCTTTGTAGCTGAGTAAGATCAAAACCAAACTGATGTAAAACCCTTGACTCTTCCCAGCCCACCAACAAAGAGAATAGCTCAGACTGGAGCACCTTCTCCAGCACTTATCCTGTGGTTCAGTGCATGTTCAGCACACACCATGTCTTAAGTCATCCATTCAGTATTTTTCCCCAGGACACTTAGCTACACTTTATCAGACTAATTCCCTATCTTGCCCATGTAGCTTTTCTGACCATGGCCAACATCAGATGATTCATAAGGTGGAACAATCCCTGCAGGAGAAGCAAGGCCATAACAGAAAAAGGGAAAGATTGTTCTGTGGAGGTTGCAGAGCATCAAAAGGCTGCATGGGTGCCTACACTGCCCTAGGAACTGCACTTCTTTGATGAATGTTTAACCACCACAAAATATCATTTGGATGGCTCCTTGCAAGTCCCTTATTGGGACGGCCCGAAAAGTGAGAAGGTACACTGGGGATAAAGCTTTACCTCCACCCTGTCTCTACACACTGTCCCAAGGCACTACCTCTATCAGCCACTCTCAGACAATTGCTCCAGTCCAGCACAGCTGCTCCCTTTTGCTCATTTTCATCTATTATTTGCAATTATTAATCTCATCTGAGAGTGCTTTAGAAATATTCGGCAAACCTCCTCACGTTTCTCTAAGAGGGACTGGTAAACATTCCCTCCTTCCCAGATGGCAAAATGAGGTAGAACCCGGATGTGCCCAGCAGGAACCTGTCAAAAGAGCCACACCTCAGCCACAGTCTCTGCAGGGCAGAGCAGGGTCTCTGCAGGACCACACAGGGAGTCAGGGCCCCCACTGCCCCCCTTCCCCAGCCAGCTCTCACCCCCAAGCAACCCCACACTTCTTCACACCTGACATTTTTGGCTGCTCTTCGCCGAGTTTGTCTCTTGGGGGTCTCATCATCTTCATCATCATCATCGTCTTCAGATGAGTCTGGTTTCTTCCTCTTCCCACGCTGGATTTTGTGGGGCTTTTTGACACCAGCTTTGGCCACTGTTCTAAAATAAGAGTTAATAAAGCCATAATACAGCATGGTTTATGTAAATATCCACATTAATAAGTACTTAAGGAAGCACGAATCTCAAATATTAGACTCCTAAGGGATTTAATCTGCTCTAACTATCATGGAAACCACTCTAGTGCTCACTGGAGCATGAGATGGGGAGATGAGGGAGTAACTAGGCCCTAGGTTTACTAGGTCATAAACAAAGGTAATATTGCAGGAAAAATACACATTCATTAGTGACAAATAAGAGATTTCCTCTCCACACAGCACAGGCAGAAAAAGAGGCTGAACCAACCATTCCTTACCTCCTCTGGACAGGTCTTCTTGCTTTAATTTTCTTCGGTTCAGGCTCACTCTCTCCACTGGTGCCATGCTCCCCTCCATCTTCATCCTCTTCTCCAGCAGAGACCTCTCTTTTCCATTTAATTCTGTGGTCAGAAATATGTGTCATGAAGGGCAATGGTATTTCTACACAAATACTTGGCTGAACAAATCCTTGGGGCCATAAATACAGGAAAAAAGCTCAAAGGTGTATCCTTGGCTGTTCTGTGCAATGCAGGGAGAATGCTGTGTTGTGATTCTCTGCTTTTAGGAGGGGGGTCTCAGTAACCTGAGGTTTTGTTCACACAGTGGCAGAATGGCCTTGAGTGAGAGCAGCTCTTACCACATGTGCTGGTGGCAGAACTGTACTGCTTAAACCTGGGTGGGCAAGGGCTTTGATTATGGTTTGTTTTTCTCTACTTCTGTATTTTTGAGATGTGCTGGAAGGATCTGAAGAGGAGTGCTCTCTGTCATAGAGCCTGAGCCACAATGTGCACAGTTACATGAGCTCCTGCTATGGAAATTCTCCTGCCAATTCAAGTTTCCAAGTGTGAAGCCAAGTCACATTGTACCATTAGTGGAAGGAAGCACATTCTCTGGGGGGCATCTAGGAACAAAGCTGCAGCTCCAAAATGCCTTTTGGAGGAGCCCCTCCTCTCCCCAAAAGGACAGGGAGGGTCCACAAGGATCATTGCCCTTGCCCAGGAGAGATCCATACTGCCACAGTCCTCCCTGTGCTTTATCACCTTCCCTCCTGCAAGGATGGGTACAGCTAAATGAAGAGTTAAACACAAGATGCAGGAGAAAGCAAGCAGGATCATGTGGCTCTGTTTAGATTTTTCTCTATCAGGCAGCTCATAGTTCCCTACTTCACTTTAGTGTTTGGAAAAACTAGAAGGTACTTCTTAGATGGGAAAAGGCAGTGAAATATGGCTGTAACTGAACTCAAGTTATGGTGCTTAGACAACCAAAGCATTCTTTATGGAAGTTCTTTTGTTTTAACAGAGGGTTATAAAAGATAAAAGAGGATAATAATTTGCCATTTTATTCTCGTTAATCAAAAAGGTGGGAGGACAAGGGATTAAACTGTTTTAAGTATCTCTGAAAGTGAATCAGTAACCTGATGGAAAAGTGAAAGACTGACAACAGAAAGTGAACCTGACTCATTCAGATTCCATCACAGGCACAGCAGGAAAATACAAACAAAAATTGGAAAATTGCATCCATGTACAGATTCATATTCATATTTCAATTTTAGCAATCCAAAGTATTATTATAGTACTTATTTTACAAGCTCACCATGTTGACAGCTCCTATCAAACAATCCACTATTGTTCTGAGAAATAAACCAAAGCATCACCACTCAAAACCCTTCCCTTAGAAACTTACTTTCTTTTTAATTGCTTCTGGCGTCTTCTTTTTGGGCTCTCATTTTCAGATTCGCTACTTGCCTTTAATTGAAAAGAAAGAAAATCAAGTTGTAGGCTTCAGTGTGGACTGGCTCCTCCAGGGTGCAAGTGAAACTCGTGCTCATGGGCTGAGCCAGGGTCCTTTCCCTGCAGCCTGAAGGACACTTTGGTGCAGAGCAGCTGCCTCCGCCCAGTCCTGTGGTTCTGCTCTCAGTGTGAAGAAGAAAACTCTGCAGAAAGCCTGGAGAGCTCTACAGTATCACCTATCTTGAAGTCCCTGAGCTCAGGACCCATCCACCCCTCTGTACCAGCCCCCAGTGCCCAAGAAACACCACGGCAGCAGTGGCCAGGCAATCCTGCAGTGTGTGCAACACCCCAGGGATTACAAACCACGGGTGAATTTATCCCAACAAATGCATTATGATCTCTGCTTTCATTGCACAAACTTCCTACAAGGAATGAAATAAAAATATTGCCATAAAAAGGCAATATTCTCATTAAAAGAGTCCTTGTCTTGCTGTTGGTTTTTTTTCTCCCACAGCAAGTCACCAAGGACCTTATGGGTCAGAGCTGTGCCCTACTGCTTTCCTTCCTCCTAGTCCTACAGTCTCCACCAGTGAAATCTCTCTGGCTAAATATATCTAGAGCTATTCTAACTACTTGCTGTATTATTTTGAAAGTGGGTGTCACGAATTCCCACAGACCAAGATAGCTAAAATAATCTCTTTATGCTGGTAGTACACAACCCCATTTTCATAAAAACTAGTCAACCATGAAAACAGATCACCACACAGATAACATGACTTCTGCTTAGCCTCCCCCAGAAAACACAAATAGGCAGGAACAAAACTGAAGAAACACATGTGAGATTTCTAAAGAAGTATTAAAATGACAGAAGTAGCCTCCAAAATTGTTTGCTCCACACACTTACTGGGAATCTTCTGCTTCTGGCTGTTTTTTTGCCACAGCATTCAGCTTTGGCTCCAGGCACTGTCTGTCCATCACCATGGGTACCAGAGTTTGCATCCCAACACCCCCACTGCCCTCCTGGACAGAGCTCACACAGCTGTGCACACAAGGACCTTGTGAAATGGTGTGAGCTGCCACATGCATCCTTCATTCCCATTTTCCTTCCACCCACAGAACTTTCTGTCTCACTTGCATCAGTCTAGCCACTAAAATACTCTAAAATACTGGATGCCTTGTCTGACCATGAGCTTTCTTGGATTTGGTGTCAGATTTGCATGTGGCACAATAACACCTTTTGCACCATATCCTTCTACAAATATGTGTTCATCTACCTCTTTCATGGCCCTGCATGAAATCCCTGTCTCATTTACCAACCATGAAGCAAGACAGACACCGTGCAGAGCCCTACCTAACCTTGCAACACAAGCCAAGCATTCCACAGATTTCAGTTTTGACAGACAGACAAAATTTAAAAGTCCTCAGTTTTCCTTTTCTCTTTTGATTTCTCATCTACTTTCTGAAGCTTTTCCTTTCCAATTGGCCACGATTTTAACAGCTGCCCCTCAGTGCACGTTTACTTTTGCTGTGTTTTGGCAAGCCACAAGTAAAGAGAGGTGGATTTCTCTTCTGCTCTGCGTCAGAGATCACATTGGGAGAAAACCAAATACAACCTTTAGCTCTTTGAAACTAACTCCACTTCTGTGCCAAAATCCCATTTTCCAAGTTTCTAGTGTCCATTTTCCTAATGCCTGTACTCCCCCGCTGCTCTGTCACTGTCTCTACAAAGCTGATGATAATCTCTAAATGACTCGACTTTTCCTCCTCTCTTCCACCTTGAAAAATGTAACTTGTGACTGCAGCTCAGCTGCCTTTTCTAACATTTTTCAAAGACAGCATTGTCTGTTTTGGGTGTGTGTCAAGCCCAACCCTACCTCCTCTGACACAGCCAGTCCCCAGCCTGAGTCATCTGCCTGCCTTGTGCTCCCACATCCTCCCCATCCCCATACAGAGTGCTGGGAAGCGCCGTGCTGCAGCTCCTCAGCCTCTCCTCCCCACTCCCTTGTGTCTCCTGGGTGGGAAATTCCTTGTTTAAGGAAGCACAGAGGACAGCCAGAAAGCCAGGGGATGCCAGATCCAGAGCGTGCACCTGAGGCCCTGTCTGCCTACTACCACCATCAGAATAGACCGGTTGGGAAATCACTTGCAACTCCAATTTTAATAATGTTACCTCCCTGAATGACACAAGCTAGACTGGCTAAGTCCATCCCCAGTCCCTGTGGGATTTTTGTCAGCCCAGCATGAGATGCTGGGGTCACGCTGCTGACTCCAGAGCCCAAGTGCCAGTGCTGAGCTCAGGCTGCCCTGCTGGGGTGCTGCTGCTGTGGCCAAGAAGAAAGACAGCCCTGGCTCCCCCTTATCAAAATGTGCCCAACTTATTCCTGCACCACTACTTCCAGCTGGACTAGGATCCAGCCCCTCACAACTTCCTCATCTCCAGCTAAAGGGATCAGCCTTCCCTCTCCATGCCTCACTGACTCCTTCCATCAGTTCTTTCCCTCTCCCAGCACATGAAGTGCACACACTCTTACTAGATTAATTGCACTGTATTTTGCCATGGAGCAACACTGAACAAACATAATGATGCTGTAGCACCAAGCAGAGCAACACAGAGCAATTAAAAGTTCTGTTCCTATAGATTATCCATGAGAGTTCTTGTACTAGCCCAGGCCAGGAGAAATGGAGATTCCAGGCAATTGGAGAGGAGGTCCAGGTGAGCCTCTGGAGCTCACATTAGGAGAGATAATGACTTGCTTAAACAGAGCCAAAAGCATTTCAGACTAAAGTCAAAGTCAGGACTTGCTCATTTCAGGCTTAACAGGCCAAGCTCTAGTGCTCCAGAAAAGCTGGAGAATCTCAGTTCACCACGTTAATTTTATGTCTGCTGAACTTCTCTTTCCCAGTGAGATCAGTAGTATTTGAACTTTCAGCAAATTCATGAGGCAAAGCATTGACCAAAATGCAAATGAGCAGATTTTTTTTTTTTTCCAATAAGAAAACCAGCTGTATTTTTAGAACACACTGGTGCGTGACTTCTGGCCTCTTTGACAGAAAAAATACACTGACATTTGTCACCAATTTCAATCTGAAACTACTCTTTTTATAGTAAAAAGATTCTGGTTGGGGCACATTTATTTCTCAACTGCCCCAGAATCACAGAATGATGGAATGATAAAATGGTTTGAGTTGGAAGGGACCTTAAAGATGGTTCAGTTCCAACCCCCTGCCATGGGCAGGGACCCATTCCACAAGACCAGGTTGCTCAGAGCCCCATCCAGCCTGGCTTGAAGACTTCCAGGAATGGGGCAGCCACAGCTTCTCAGGCACTGTGTGCCAGGGTCTCACCACCCTCATGGGGAAGAATTTCCCTTAGATGTCTAACCTAAATCTCCCCCCTTACAATTTAAATACTCTGAAAGGCACCTGGTTCTGCATGCCTCACATCCCCTGGCTGAAACCTGAAGCTGATTTATTAACTGCAAAGAAAATGCCTGGGGAAGTAATGTTTTTACTAAAAAACCTCACACGTTCTCTTGTTCCTGGAGACAGCTCTGGGCCTCTGAGCAGATCTGTGCTCCCATGCAAAGCTGCACTTTCGCTTCCCCGGTGGCTCAGCCCGTGCCTGGGTATTGATCAATTATCATCCTCCCTGACTGCACCTCGGACACCTACACGAGGAGCCCAGAAATCCCCAGAAGGGTAACCATTTCTGACACACAAATAACTCTACCCACAGTGCTGCTCTCAGAGGACACAGTAACTGAGCAGGGCCCCAAAACCTGAATCACCTCCACCTCTGCGCCATCTCCCCCGCGCAGGTGAGTCACGGGGCAGCGCAGGGAGCAGGGCTGGCTCATCCTCGCTCTGGTCTCTGAGCCTGCCACACTGCCTGCACGATGCTCTTTGCTAATCTGCAGAGAAGCATTAAGGAAGAAGGCAATTACAAGCCCCCAGACACTGTGCTAGAAGTCCCAAGCAGCAAGCGAGAGGTGCAGGTTGCTGGTGACAGGATTAACCCTGCAAAGGCAAAAAGCATCTTCAGACATGCCTTGGGTTTCTGCCCCTTCCAACAGCAGCAAGGAGTGCTCAGAACCATGCAGGCTTGAGCTATGCTATTTCCTCTCTCTTGGTGTCTTCCAAAAGCAAGACTTTCCATCTCCTCCTGCTCTCTTCGAGGCCCCAGCATCGAGCTCCTGACAGGTCACAGCCTCCACTGGACTCTGCTGCAGATGGGAGCTGCCCTGTGGGGACCAGTCAGTGTTGCTTTAGGAAGAAAGGGGTGAGGGGGTGCTCAAATTTTTTTTAATTTCAGCTGTTTTACAGAAGTTGCAGTGGGGGTGATTTGGAGGACCTTTGGTGGGTTTTTTTTTTTGTTTTTTACAATATTTTGTGGTATAGCAAAGTTTTTGCATCTCAGATTTTTAAATTTATTTTACTTTACCTTAAGTAGTAGGAAATAAAGATCTTGAAAAAGAAAACAACATTTGCAAAACCACGTAATATTGTAAAACAAAAAAAGAAGGGACTTACCTGGGCCCCTAAGAGGGCAGGGGGGGTGTGCAGCGGAGCTCTGGGGTGGGTGTGAGGTTGCCGGCACAGTGCATGCCGGGCCATCGCACAGAGGGGCGGCCAGCCAGCCCAGCCTCTGCCAACTTGAAAAGGAAAACAAAAGCTACGTCAATGGTGCACCCCGAGCCCCTTCCTGACCTCTGCTCTGCGGGACAGCCAGCACAGGAGTCTGGGGGACAGCTGGTGGCACTGGGGTGCCACCAAGGCTCAGCAATAACGCACCAGAGCAAGGATCTGGAGACCTGCGTGTGACCCCTAGAGCATCCAAACGCACATCTTGGTGGCAAAGCACAAACAGCCTGAGACAGAGAGCACCACTGGGCTCCTGCTCTGCTCAAAGTCTGCTGCTTATCTTCAGATTCCCAGCCCCAAGCCCCAAGCTCTACACAGATGCCCCTCCCTGGTTCTCTTTCCCCTCTGCTACAGTTGCTCGCCTTTCCTGAAGACCTGCAGATGAAATGCTCCATGCAGAAAACCTGTTGGATGCAAATGAAGGCAGCACCTAATTTCTACATCTTCAGGAAAAAAAAACCAACAGTGTTCTGAAACAGAAATAATTAGAAAGTTTGTCTGCCAGGCTCTGACCACTGTCACCTTCAACTGAAGCATAAAAGACTCCCCAATATTCAGCCAAAGAAAAGTGATGGGTCATAAAGCTGCACACACACAAATGCATTTATTGGTGGGATCCATTCCAGGATGGGAAACATTGACTGTTTTGTTGCTATGAGGTGTTTCTGTGAGATTTCCTTTATTCCTGGTTGGATTTGTGTTGCATTTTGGTATCATTCTTGTTTTTTTATTATACAGACTTCTCTCCAGGACGTTCCTAACAGCAGAACATGACTTGCATTACACCCCATTCCAGCAATCAGATCAGAGCATGCAGATCTCAGCCCACGCAGTGTCCCGCTCACTCCAGAGGTCTCAGGCCAAGGATCCAGCTGCAGGACTGGGACCTCAGCTGTGAGCTCCAACATCCATGCACCAAGCTGGGACTCAGTGTTTACAAGGCAATGCAGTTGAGACCTCCCTTTCCTCTTTGGGTTTGGTTGGTTTTATATGTTCAGTAATCCCTCATCTTTTTTTTTTTTCCTTACCTCATCTTTTATATTAAATCGTGACGGTTCTTGTCTGCTTCGGTTTGACCTCCTAACCCCATAAACATCAGGATATTCTTCCCACATCTGCAAAATAAACAGACCATCAGAAGGCCTGCTTCACCTCAATTATTTTTTGACATTTTAGAGAAATTGGATGGTGGCTTAAAAAAATCAACAAAAAACCATTAGCAACCAGTAGATGGACAGTTTAAAAAACTGGCTGAAAAATATTATTATTATTTTGGGATATTTAACGCCTCTCTAAAGCAGCATGTGTTTATCTCAGTGTTATCTTTACAGTGGTCACCTTTCCACTGAGGCACAAATCACTCTGCAGCTCACTCAGGCTGAAGGACAGAGTGTTCAGGTAAGCAGCCCTCTGCAGCACTGGTGCCAAAGGAACGGAGGCAACACCTTGGACATGGAATGTCCAAGACCTACCAACTCAACAGGGTAATTTTCTGTCATTAACAGCCTGCAGCACGATTCCTTTCCTGGTGGAATGCCCCACCAGCTGCCTGGAGACATTGCCAGCTGCAGCTTCAAAGGTGAATTCTGTGGCCCAGGATGGCAAACGGAGCAAGATAGCCTGTCCTTTGGCAAGGCAAGGCAGTGGCCTCTCCCAAATGCACTGATGGGATTGTGGTTTGGCAGCACAGGACACATGGATGTGCAGAGGTGACTGCTGGGAATGGTTGTGGTCTTTCCTGTAAAACGAGGCCCTCACCAGTTCAATGCACTGTGTGTAACAGCATGCAATTGTCCTTGTGGATGGGCAGGAGAAGGGGACACAAAAATGGATGCCCAGAGGGGGTTGAATGCAGAGCTGTGTTGGTGACACAGGAAACACGAGTTACAGGGCAGACACAAACCACCACCATGCCCCTCAAATTCCTACACCAGCAATTCCTCTCTCCCTCAGCAAAGCTCTTGATTCTCTACATCTATTAATTTCCTTCTGATTCTCTCTCCCTCCAATCCTCAAATATCTCTGCAAGCCACTGGCAGGAAAAGTAAATCAAAATATGCTGCCAGATGCAGCAGTGATTGGGACTGAGAGCGTGATGGATACAAGGCTGCAGTCCAGCAATTTTTATGCCTCTGTTAAAGGTGTAATGGGATAAGGGACAGACTGTGACAGTGTGTATCTGTTGGGCTTGCAGGTACTGAGGTACACTCTCATGTAAGTGTAAACCCTCAAATTTATTGCTCCCCAAACCATTTGAAGAACTTGTCTTTTCATCTATTAAATGGCATGGGTTTTAAATGTGGGAGCAACTTCCATGACAAATCTTAATAGCACCTAACAGATTAACCTCACCTTCATGGGTGTATCTAAACAAATACCAAATAAACAATAATACAATAATTAATTGCACCAAGGGGAAGAGGTATCAACATGCCTAGGTTAGACCTAGCTAAGGAAGACACCCATTAACACAGAAATTAAGGAAGGGAGAGGCTTTCTTATTAGAGGGTGTCCTGACCTTTTCATGTTTCATCCATCCTAATTATCACCTTCTGTATGGATACACTTCCTCACAGGATAATGTTAGCATTTATTGTTAGGGACATGCTCTTAGAATCCTTCAGAGGGAGAGAAGACTTCCTTTGGTGCCCACTTATCAACAATAAACTACAAATTTTAATATGGTGTTACCACAACTGCCTTATAAACTCATCCTTCTTTGCCAGTCCAAACACTGGAGGATTTAGCCATGACCTGAGCCAGCAGCCTGGAGCTTTGTGGGAGGGAGAAGCTGCTAACAAAATCTCTCACTTCTCCCTGGCAGGTCTGTGGGGAGCACAAGCTAGAAGCACTGTCCTCCCTCCTTATCCTTTACACACAGCACCTTTCTCCATAAAACTCTCAGGAGCAAGCTGTGCCCAATGCAACCCACGGCTAAGGACGGTTACACATCACAAACAAGCTGACCTAACCAGAATTTTCTCCTTCCAAATGAACTCATTTCACTGAGTTCCTGTCTCCAAATGGTATTTGGGCTCCTCTTTCTCAGCTCACACTGCCCTGTGTTACTCAGGTGCCTCCATCCCTCAGGTAAAGCAGGTACCTGAGGTGCAGCTTCTGCCCTGGAGGGTGCAGAGAGAGACCATGTGCAGTAACACCCACAATAACCCCCTTTCCTGCAGGACAGCAAGTGGAGGGAAAACCTGGTTATCTGAGGGTATTGCTAGGGAGGAGCTGGGAAGCTGCAGGGAAAAAAAAACCACAACAAAGAAGTACTGTTCTGGATTTAACAAATAATGGAAGTTAAATAGCTTTTTCATTCTTCCTCTTTTTTTTTTTTCCCCCTATGCTTTTCTGAAAGGAAGAGTGATGTAAAAAAACCCAACGTTGTTCAAACTTCAAACCCTAGACAAACCTTCTTCCTGATTATTTATCATATGGAGAGGGGCTTTACTGCTTCTGAGGGAGAGACAGGAGAGAAGAGTGGAAAGATGGAGGGAGAGGATGAAATGACAGGATCATGTACTGATGACAGGCACCTGCCCCTCATTCACACCAGTCAGTCCTGTCACCATTTACTTGGTGCCCCAGGGATTGTTCCACAAACAGCAGCTCCTGCTCCCAAGGGTGACACCAGCAGGCCTCCAACACACAGATGAGCCTCTGGGAACACTGGAGGTCAGAGGCTGTTTGGTCCATGTGCAAAGTGGCCAGGAAATTGGGCACAGCTTCACCAAGGTCCTGCTGTCTGACCTTCTGCGGTGGGTACAGGATTAACATGTCTGTGCAGAGCAGCAGAGGTAATACCTTTTTAACATCTGCTATCCTTTCCTTCTTAGAGGCTGGTTTTTCTTTGGTTTCAGGAGGGGTCTGCTGGGATTTGGAACCCGTTGATTCACTTTCGGATTCAGACTGACTCTCAGAGGACTCGGAGCTGCTGTTTGACTCGCTGCCCTGCTCACTTTCAGACTGGCTTGCAGAGTCAGAGCCAGAGGCTTCTTCGGATGCCGAGTGACTAATGGTAGAGAAAGAAGAGGTTACATTTTAACTGCACTGACACAGCTGTGAAATACACAGCGAGCAAACCTGAGACACATCCCAGCCACAACAGGCTTGTAAAAGCCTGAATGCACCTGTGGACCCTGCAGGCATTCAGACACCCCACACTGGCATTCTACAGCAGAGGCAATTCCTTCCCAGGACTGGCAATGAACACAGATGAGAGTGCAGCCCCAAAAGTCCCTGTCCAGGATCTCCAGCTCATCACCAGAAAAGCAGTGGTGGTAGGTGTTGAGAAGCATTAGCAGTACCAGCAGCACAGGTACCACCGGGAGGATCTGGCTGTCTTGGAGCGAGGAAGAGTAAGGTACAGCGGGAGCTGCAGCATCCAGAGACCATCCTGCTGTATTGAAGACAAGCACTTGCTCCAGCACGGCTCTTCACTGCATCCTAGCGCGGCCAGGGGTTCAAAATAAATCTGATATCCATTTCCTGGAAGAGGCCAGTATCAAACACTATACCCACAATACCATGAATGATGTTAAATATGCTGTCTTTTTTTTTACAAAAATAATTAGTTCAGCAACAGGGCAGAAGAAAGAAGCTTTAAAAGGCTTGTGGCTGGGGCAGCTCCTCTTTAAAGGATTACACCAGTGCTGTGCAGACTGCATTTCTCAAGCCAATAATGGGAGAGCAGAACACTAAGTAGGTGTAGTTCCCCCTTTTTTTTTAGTATCTTTGTATAAAAATGGGTTGACACACATAGTGTCCCTTAAATAAAAGCTTCTCAACAAAACTGTGAGAGGCCAAACTATTTTAGGAGGCCAAAATATTCAAATACCTTTGCCCAGTCACTCCCAACATATGTATTTTTTATTTTAAGATCCAAAAAAGCAAACTGAAATCTCAGTACACCTTATCACACGCATGGCTGGCAAGGCAGCATTCAAACCCCACTGCCACAAACAAAAACACAGCGCCAATGATGCTACAAACTTTTGGAAAAAGGAGAGTTCCTTTCCCAGTCAGCTTTCCACTAGCAGCCAGACGTGTTTGTGATATTTAAGGATTCACTTAGGTAAACACTATGAAAGAAGAGTCAGGAACACTTCATAGAGGGATTAAAGAGATTTTTATTTTTTCTTCTACTTTTGTAGAAAAGGAACAAAGTACATCAAAGGCTTTGCTCAGATTTCAGGATTCAAGGAAGAAATAACACAAAGAAAAAAACACAAAACAACAACAATCCAAACAAAAAAAAAAGAAGCAAAAAACAAACCAAAAAAAAAAACCCACAAAAAACAAAGCATGTGTACGCGTACATTTACATTCGACTCCACAGATGATTAGCAGCCGGGGATGCCCGGATGGAGCCGCGGCCCGTCCTGCTCCGGCCGGGATTAATCCCTGGATCCGCGGCTGAGGGCCGGGAAGCGGGCAGGGGGCAGCACCCGCGCGCCCTCAGGCGCCGCCGCCGCCATTTCGCGGCCGCCCCTCCGCCGCCATCTTGCGACCGCGGGGCTGTGCCCGAGCCCTGGGATGGATCCCTGGCATGGATGGATCCCTGGGACTGCACCGGCGAAAGGGAACCGCGGGCAGCGCGGCCTTCCGAGCCTGAGGGGACACAGACCGGGCCCCTTCCGCAAGGAGCGGGGGCAGCCATCACCCGTGGCTGCTGTTTCACTGTCCCAGCCTGGGTTTGAGGGAACGGGGTTACCGCATTGCATCCTGCAAGCAGGGCTGGAAATTCAAGTTGAGCCACGGCCATTCCAGGCTGCCCAGTCCCTCCTGCCTGTCCCTGTCCATGGATGGAGGTTATCCACGAGAACCAGAGGTGCAGCCCCATGTACAGTGTCCCACTACACCCCTTGTTCTGTGGGCTCTAAACAGGGCCCCCTTTATCCACCACAGCCCTCCACTGCCACAGCCATGACTTGTGATGGTGCCATGGTCAGAAATCCATGGTGGTGCCACACACACATGACCTGTGGTGGTGCCACACTGCTCCTGGGAATGGCACTCCAGCAGCTCTGGGGACAGATGGTGTCCATGGGCAGGGCTGGGCAGGACACCATCCCGCTGGGCCTCCACAAAGGAACGGGATCTGGAGGCATCCAAACCTCTGCTGTCACAACAGTAAGTGGCAACATCAGGCTCTGCTGAGGCCCGTTGGCATCCCATGTCCCACAGGGACACACGGAAGAGGAAGACAGTTTTTCCTTCAATCGGATTTCTGAGCAATAGCTGGAAGGAATTTTAACAGCCCAGGCAAGACAGAGGCCAGACAGCTCTGGCAGTATTTGTTTAGAGGCAGAACAGTAATTAGTGTTCTCCTCCCACTCTGGAGCTCTTTGTTCCTCAAAGCCCTAAGCTTTATTTCAAGGACACGGTGACACAGGCTCTCTGCACATCAATAGCCATAATTCATGTGCTTTATCCACAACGTTGTCTGAACACTGTAATTCCTTTTTTCAGGCTGTGAACTGTGCCATCTGAAAAGAGGGAGACTTCTCTGGTGACATACACATCTGTATGTGCAGGTATTTGCCTGCACATCTGCTTCCCTTACTAAGGAAAGAAACACAGATGAGAAGTGGTTATGTCCTTTTGAAGGCTGTTGGAAATAACCCACATTTTTTTAATGAGCAACCTGTTATCGAAGCAAAATATGTGTTTGTCTTCTTTTCAATGTTGATCAGATAAAAACATAACTGAAAGGCCTATTTCCATAAATAATCCTAACTGTCACTGGGACAATCAGGAAGCATTTATACCTGCCAAAAGAATATAATGTATTAGCAACATTAAATGTCAAATCAGGCCTAGCACTGTATATACCTGGAGACCTAAGTCCTCTTTTCAGAGGTTATTTTTGGAATTTGTCCTGGTTTAATGCCATTGAGTTAGCATCCAAACAAGACCTACTTTCAATTAAACTATAAGTGAGGGATAAGCTATAATTAATTGTCACAAAAATCAGAATTCAGACCGACCACTCTCCTCCAGAAACACCCATGAACATAAAAAAAAAAAAGGCAACAGATGGGCCATTGGTAACTTCCTTGAAGTGAGAAACTCCTAAAAAAAGTTGAGATCTGCAAAGACTCAGCCAAATACATTCCTCTGGTTTCTAAGAAGTACTTCAGGCTATAAGTCTACTTTAATTAAGAGCCTTTTCCTGACTTGAGGGGGAACAAAACTAAATCACTCCTTACCAAGAAGGACATGTTCCTTCCAAGAAATAAGTAGCTGAAAGGCAGCGATAAGACCTTTTACAGTGAGGCATCTGAGTTTAAAAGGCAATTACCACGTGCCTGAAGCCTCTGGACTTTGCATTTAATATTTCACATATGACTTCATTTTATAGGGGATCATCTTTGAAACAGAAAATCATTTTATAAGCTCTCAGTAAAGAATAAATAGTAGATATGCTTCCAGAAGGTGTGAGACAGCAGAAAAAATGACCCCAATACACATTTGTGAAACCAAGAACTGACTGGGGAATGGCTCTAACTGGGACCATTCTGCCCCAGTGTTTAAAATGTGGCTTTTGAGGGACAGAACTTGAATTCAGACAGGGGAATAAAGGAGGATTAATAACCCAAGACCCTCCCACAAGCAAAGCTCCTCCCAGCTTTAAGAACTGTTGTGAATGTTTTGAATTTAAACAAGTTTGAATCCAAACAGCAACATTCCACTGAGCTTCGCAAGCTCTGCAGGGATTTGGCACCGGCAAACCCACCCCGTGAAGTCTGGAGAAGGACCTTGGCAGATTATCCCATGGCTGGATAACATCAGGGGCTGGATGACAGCAGGAACCGTTGTATTTAACTCCTGTGCATTGTTGGCCACAGGTCACGAGTGCTGTGGGTAACTGACATCCAGGTGCACATGCGAGGCTCACTGACACCAAAATGCCCCTGGGGCAGGTGGCTGGGACACTGCCCCTCCCCGCCCCCATCCCTCCTCAGCCTGCAGCCCATGCTCCAGCACTGGCTGCACCCGCAGGGCTTCCTGATAACACTCCCGGATAGCCCAGAGAAACAGCAGGTCACCAAGCCTTTACAGCAACCAGGAACTGTGCAAATAAACTGCACTTGGCAGTGCAGGCGAGCTGCAGAGTGGACAATGTAACAATAGCTTGGACAATGATCTCAGGGGTCTTTTCCAATCTAATAGATCCTGAGAAGGCGTGAGCAGCCCAGGCTTGGAGGCAGCTGTTGGGTCAGCCCAACTCCATACCCTGCCCCACAGCCCCACTGGCCTCTGGCAGGGTCCAGAGAGGAGCACCTGAGCCCCTCACAGCTCTGCAGCTCAGGCTGCCAGCTGCTCCAAGCCACTCTCATCCACCAGCAGAACCAAGCTGAGATTTACTCCAAAGCAGAGCAGTAAAGCCAGTGCAGGTATTATTTAACAGGTATGTATTTAAACAGGTCTGTCTTCCTAAAGTGACCTGCACAAACTGTGGGACACACAAACACAGTGACAAATCACAGAAAGGGCGAATACACCGACTGAGATGAGGACTGTGCTGCTGTTAAACATTTCCTTTCAATATCTGATCTATAGATGTGATGTTCCCTTTTATGAAGAGAAACTATTTACAAGAGCATGTAGTGACAGGACACAGGGGAATGGCTTCAAACTGAAAGGAAGTAGGTTTAGAGGTTTAGATTAAATATTAGGAAAAAAATCCTTACTGTGAGCTTGCTGAGGCACTGGAGCAGGCTGTGAGTGCTCCATTCCCTGGGAAGCATTTGAGACATGTTGGATGGGGCTCTGAGCAACCTGGTCTAGGGGAACGAGTCCCTGCCTATGGCAGGGAGGTTGGAATGAGATGATCTTTGAGGTCACTTCCAACCCAAACCATTCCATGTTTCTATTTCTATATAAGAATATATGTGCACATATATTGCAAATAGAAACAAGCACCATCAATGTTGATACGTGCACTCAAGTAACAGGGTAGCCGTAAAAAGGCAGTAAACTAAATTTAACCTTCAGGCTAAACAAGGCATGGAGAGGAACACAAGATGGGTTCTAGCTATAGATCATTGGATAAAAAGAAGATAACATGGGTACCACAAAGGACTGAGCAAATACCACAGTAATCATAGACAAGACAATACATACACAGCACATGGAGTGAGCAGGAGAGCCAAAGTGAAGGACAGATTGTGACACTGAAGATAAATAAATTCATTCCTAGCTTTTTCAGTTCCCTTGATTTTATTTTGAAAGTCTACTGAAAAGTGATTGGTGCTTGCCTGTCTCCCAAGGCAAAGATTTTCTGAGTGAGAAGCCTTGAGAAGGGTCATTCAGTGAAAGAGCTTTTCCCAGTTATTTCCTGCAGGGAAAAGTAGAAATGGGGGGAAGGGAAGGAAGAAGAAGAATACTCCTGCTCCTTTATTCTCCATACGTTTGCATGGTACTTTTAACACTGATCTGTCTCCAAGCAGGAACTTAAACTAGAATATCCTAAACACAGCCAGGCTCCTCATACTGTTTAGGAGTGAGTCTCAAACAACTCTGAATACTCAAAATATGATTTGTCCAAATCTGGACAGATCTGCCAGCTTTAAAAGGGCACAACAAACTCGTATGGCCAAAGGGCTGCCCCTTCCAGGTTACCAACATGTTCTTCAAAGAAGCATAAAAATATTTCCCTGACTTCTCTTTATGATCAGCAGCATTTTCCCCCTCCCTTAAACAGGCATGTGAGAAGTTCTCATGGAGAATCCACACTTTTCCCACCTGTGCCTGCAAATGTGGCTTGCAGGGTTGGGTGTTAATTACATTTACACAGCAGCACTAGGCACAGCTGAGCTATGGCACTGCTATACCAGCTAAGGGATTATGCACCCAAGAGGTATCTATCCAAAATATCCACCTGAACTAGGCTGTGAGGCTTCCAGCCTATTCTGGCCGTTGCTACTCATCCCAGCACAGGACTCCCAAATGCCAAAGGCAGACCTAAATATATCCCTCACTGCTCGGCTGCAGTTCCCCACTACAAAGACACTTAGTTGTTCTTGCATAAGCAAGCAAAAGGAGCAGTCCATTCAGGATGGGGAGAGCTGGCTCTCTTGCTCTCTGATCTTTAAGTCAGAGGCTGAAAATGCTTGGGATGTTTAGTGGGAAAAGAGGAAAAAAACCAAAAGCAACAAAACAAAAAAAACCCCAAAAAAACCAGCAGAGGGTCAAAAGGAGTCAAAACCTGTCTGGTTGATTAAGGAGTTCTATTGATAATCTCCAAGGCAGCATCCTTCCCTTTCCCTGCAGAGAAAGGGAAGAACAATTGCAGTTCTCAGGGTTTGAAAGGGTCCCTCTCTCCCTCCCCGGGAGGCAGCAAAGAGTTTCCGGGCTCCACATCCCACATCAGCAGGAAGACCCCGGCTGGCTCCTGGCATCTCCCAGCTCCTGCTCAGCCCCAGCCAAGGAGAGGAGCAGGAGCCCGGGGGCGCACGCCTTCCTCAGACAGGCAGGGCTGTCCTGTTCCGGGATCCCAGTTCCAGCCACCTCTGTGCCATGTCCTGCCGGGGACAGCCAGGCTGAAGCCCAGTGGCAGCACAAAGGGGACACAGGTGCATCCCACTGGCAAAGGACCTGGTGATGTGGATGCATCAGGGGGCTGGAGCGTGCACACACAATTAGTACAGAAAAAGTGGGTGCTTTTTATCCCTTAACATTTGTAAACTTCCTTTAAAAACCTCTCAGAGTAAAGACATGCAGTGTACATGGAATGGAAATTACCCCAAACCCCATTAACAGGAACACGATGATGCAGAAATTCCTCTATGGTTCCAGGTGACCTGCAGCTCAGAAAAAGAGAGCCTGATCTGGCCTGAGGGGGTTATTCCAAGTGACTCTTAAAAGCTGTTTTTAACCAAGAGATTTAAGGCTCTTTACTAAGCCTAAGTTTTACAGACAGCACATGGCATTCAAATCTCAACTGGTGACAATTCTGTACTGAAGCACAGAGATTCCTCCACATGAGAGAGATGCAAACGACTCCTATAATTAACATATTAGCAATTCCATTATATCATCTATACATAACAATAACACTTGCAAGAAACATAAATAGTTGCAACACAGCTTTTTCTTAAGAGTTGGGTGTTCTAGAGTCAGTAGATTCTTGACATTGCAACACCCTTGTTCATAGCTGGGGTAAAGGTTGGTGAGCAATGAAGTGTTAAGCATCCCATCCCGTCTGTGGGGCTTGGCAGACACTGCACCGAGCCCTGCCAAGATCAAACGCCATGCCAGCACTTCCACCACAATACCAGAAAGGAATCTGAGATCACTGTTAAAAACTTTTTAACCCTTATTAGTCAAGGTCAGAAAAGCACGTGTAGTACAGAGTAGGTTATCTCAGCCCACAGGTAAATATAAAAGAAGGTGGAGATTGAAAAATATAATTTAGCAGCAGTGCTACACATGCTGTAATGTAAAATGAGCTGCTGCACATTTGGAAAGACTCAGCAAGATTTGGCTTATTATATCCAAAAGATACTCTGAGAAAATGAGGCATTAACAGTGTGACAGACTTACAAAAGCTTCACTGCAAGTCACTAGGGGTAAACTTCCTCTGGGCTTTTTTTCTTTCAAGACATGAAGGTGGGTTTTACATACACACCAGCACCTACTGAAAGAGCATCTTCACATGGCATTTCAGCAGACGTCTTTTAATAAAAGCACACCAGAAAGTTTGATGTAAGACACCATGTCAGTAGAACAGCACATCCTTTGCTAGAAGGCTGCTTCTATCTAATAATGGTAATCCAGGCCATCCCCTCCCCCAGTGCTGTGCTGTTTGTATTTATTTTCCTTGAAGGAGAGGAGAGATAAAGCAGAACAGAAGCTTTCTCCAGTCATTATCAGCTCTTTCCTGATCTGGATTTCAGCTAGGGGCAAGGAGAGATTTGGAAGCTTTTTCCATCTCCAGAATTTAGGAGCCTAATTTAACATTGCAATTCCTGCTAGGACTGCTGTGTGCAACACGAAACAAGATACAGTGGATACACACACCTCCAGGTTACATATCAGGAGATGCAATTACAGTGTAAGATGCCAAACCCACCCAAAGTAAGCTTATACTTGGCTTGTCATGAGTTCAAAAGCAGCCAGTCCATGGCATTGGAGGCTTCAGTTCAGTCCTTAGACTCCTGCTCGCAGTCTGCATCTGCCACTGGTACCCTCACCTGCTCCTGAAAACCAGCACTGATAAACCTGAATTAAGAGATGTCCCAGTACAAAAATTCCTCAGAAACAAGTTTGGTAGCTCAGTAATGGGCTAATGCTATGAGCAACTTTCTGAAGGATGAAGCACAAAAACAAAGACAGGAATTGGTTTATCCCCATACCAAGATGAAGAGATTAAGATGAAACATCAGGGCCTTCCTGGCCCTCCTTCCGAGCCCTGTCAAAGCTACCAGTGGAAGTGTTCGTTGAAAGCAGAAGTGTGGCTGTGGCAGCCTCGGGGCTGCTCCCGAGGCACAGCCAGGATCCGAGGCACAGCCAGGATCCGTGTTCTCAGAAACGCCACAGCTTGGCTCCGGAACTGGAGGAACTGGGGGAAGGTGCAGATAAGGGCAACTGTTGCCCTCAGAGTGTGGCAGGTAAAACATCAACCCCGCAGAGAGGGGAACAGGCTCCAATCTGTGATCTGAACCACTTCACCTTCCCTCGGCTGAAGGCACTCATGGGGTTGGGAAGACGCCTGCACACATGTGCACTCAGCCATGGCAACGCCCCTGCCCCTGCACAGGCTGTGCCACAGAAACTGGGTTACAGAATTACCCAGGTGAGCTCTTTATTCCCATTTTCCAATTTTTATTCAGCAAAAGTCATGCATTTTAGAGACTCTATAAAATTTGATTAATTAGCTTAAGATGTTTAACTAAATAAAGATCAATCCAGAAGACAATGAATTACAGCTAAATGTAGCTTCTTGCAGTTGGTGAGCTCTTTTTATAGCACTGTATATACTGCATCCACCTCTGGCAGCAATCACAAAACAGGGAACAGAAAGCCTCAGGATTGTGCATGCGTAATTAGATGAGACACTTCCTTCACGAGGGTAATGTGAAACAGAAGTAACAAAGCAAAACAAGAACAATCTCCTTTGTGCTGCACATGGATTACATCACGATTCATATGAATTCCTTGCACATTATTCCTTTTGTGTCCCGCACTGATCAAGCATTTTTCCTTTTCATAAAAGGCTCCAGGCAGTTTCACAAAGGGTTAAAGCTTAAAAAGGGAGGGAGAAAAAAGTCCTGGTTGAAGAATGCAGCGGTGCAAATGAAACTGAAAGCCTCGGCACATGCACATGGCCACAACAGCTAAAAAATAACTCGTCACATGGATAAAAACTTGAAACCCACTGTTTGAGGCATTTTAACAGATGTGTTCAATGCTTCTACTCAGCTAAAAGAAAAATCACTAAAAGCGAACAGCGAATTTTGGTGATTTAAGGATACTGAAACTTGTACCTCTCCTTTAAAAAGAAAGAAAAAAGAAAAAAAAAAAGTTGCAGGAATACTATGGCATTCTACAATTCCTTTTGAAGTTTAAAAAAAAAAAAAAAAAGGGGGAAAAAATCTCGCAGCAAAAAATAGCCCTG